GGCCTTAGGGTCTATATCGGGATACTGGGAACAGCATAACTGTCGAAGCTGCACTTCGAAGAGCTGATATCTATCCAATAGCTACAGGGCCCAAGTTAATACAACTTATAACCATTGCCTTGCAGATCGATACTCTGCCTGTTCGGTCGCAGAAACCTGAAACGCCTTTCCTAAAACTATATGTGCATGATGTCTAGCTCTGGTACAATCCCATAATGATCATCTGCCTAAACAAAACTTCAGGGATACCATGGGCAATTAACACATTGAGGTGGTTCGAGAACCATCCGTGGCTCGCCTCGCTTTCTGATCCTGGGCGGCAAAAGGCAGCGTGGACCAGCAGCGGCTGTATCCTGGGTTATTTGCAGTATGGTTTCTTGATTTAGATCGGTTCGGGGATGTTTGATCTGAGGAAAACGAGCTGCTACGAACGGTGCCCATAGAAGTGCACGGCGATGACGCCGAAGCTCACAAGAGGCGAAGCTTTTTGTGCGTTTCTATAAGAAGCCCCATCACCCGGGGGAGCACCTACGACGTCCTGTTCCCCTGCTATGTCCTGGACAGTGACCAAACAGCCCCTGGAACCGTGACCCGGTGCTTGATTCATAATCGAAAAGCCTTCGAATAGGAAGGATGGTTGATGAGTGGATTCATGGATATAAATTGAGGTTGGGACCACATCTGTGGCCACGTAGGGCATCGTGCGGTAACATCTGTAGTTCTCAGCCAAGGCCAAGCAGCTCGATCATTACCTCGTATGGTCGTTGGCGCAGCTGGCTGCCGGCAAAACCAGCCACTACGACGCCTGGGGTCAAACGCTTCCCGGTGGAGACGATGCTTGCGTAACTTTATGCGGAGGCTACCGATTCGTGTGGGCAGGCATGAAAGGAGATCAGCAGTGGCTGAAGAAATGCTTGCAAATCGACCAATCCTGGGTTTCGGAGCAATGCTGCTGGTATTGCAAAGCCACTGGGTCTGAAAAAATGGTATCAGCTCCTAATAAGATGTTGGGGGCAGCATGTTGTGATAAGGTTCGAAGATCCTTAATCACCTATATATAACATAGCTGGGATCGGGAATTACACTAATCACGCACATCGATCCGAAACAACTATCGAAAGGCGAACCGCCTTACCAATTCGCCACTGCTCTACACTGCGCATGGACCAGCAGCTCCGCACCGCCAAACGAATGCTTGCTGCACTATTGCTTTTGGGTCGGATTCAGGGAGTGACCTGATCCCAAGACAGGGATGGGATGGCTATAGGCCGCCGTACAAAGAAACCGAATACTAAGGATGAGAACTTTCCCCGAGTTTATCGGTCTCATCGCTCGATCTCCTTGGGCATACGTGGGCGGCGTTTCCTTATCACGAATATGGCCGGACTTGCTGCACATTTTAGACTTGGCACTGAGTCCGGAGGCGGCAGCCAGTGCCGCTGGGCCGGCATCCATAGCAATTCTAAGACTCCGGGCCTTTACATAATGATCGAACTGATTGGTTCTAGGGAAGGGGATTGCAATAAGCACCCTAAACCTTCCCATGCGTGAATTTCCATCTGCATGGTTGGAGTTGCATCTCGAGATCACTAGACCCTTATAATAATTCCAACCCAGGCTCTACTGGAGCTCACAGCCACTGCCGAGCAGAGCCCGTGGCCGGGCCAGACGCAACAATTGCGGCTCTCTGCCGCTTACGCTGACTTCGTGAACATGTGCCGGGCGGACAAGGTTCGTCGCACAGCTGCACATATAACGATTGAAATCTATTGTTCGAAGGGTTTCCATCCCAAGCTTTTGCTTCGTTACCGACTAGGGCCTGCCTTCAGGTTCAACGATTTGGGCTTAACATATATAGACATATATTTGCCAGCCATGCCAGGCTGCAGGTATATAAATAAATTTAGGGTTTAGGGTAATTAGGGTTTAGGGTATAGGGGTTTAGGGTTTAGGGTATAAAAAATATATATACATGCATATATATTTTATGTGAAATATCCATCTCACATATAATTTCTCTCTCTCTAAAATACCTCGGATCCTATACCCCAAGCACCCCCGTCCGAGTTCTTAAACCCGACTGTCCTATAACCCAAGAACCCCTGTCCCTAAACCCGACTGTCCTGTAACCGAAGAAACCCCCGTCCCTAAACCCGCCTGTCCTATACCCCAAGAACCCTCCTAAACCCTCCTGTCCTATACCCCAAGAACCCTATCCCTAATAGACCCTTTTTCATAGCCCAACTCAGAGCTCAGGCTCCAGAGCACCGCCGTTTCAGCTGGATGCGATCAAGGGGAACAAGAAGAATCTGAAGTTTCCCACGTTCGCTCAGAAACATCTGAGCGGGGCCGATTCTTGGATGGCATTCAGCAACTTTTTTTAATCGATCTCAAGGATCGATGTACCTTCGAACGATCTAAACCCCCTTTCAATGTTTTTATGATCTGGCCCCGATGCAAGGAGTCAGTGGTGCTTGTGCGATGGCTCGCGCTGGTATGTGCTCGAGAAGCTGAAAAAGATGGCAGCGAGCACAACAAGTTGCGTGCTGCACTGTTTCTGGGTTTGGGCACAATGAGGAAAATCCTCACGTCTGCTGGCTTTTACCTGAATGCCGAGGAGCTGAGAGAGCTGGAGTACTACAACACAATGTATCACTCCGCTCTCAATGCTCTGGCTACGGAAGCCATGCATCATGGTCAGCTGCTGTGGAAGGTCCGGCCGAAGGGCCATCAGCTGGATCATCTTTGTCTGGATGCTGCGGTTCTGATGAACCCCATCCAGACTTCGGCTTATTCCGAGGAAGATCTTGTGGGGCGCATGAAGCGCCTGGCGTTGCAGTGCCATCCACGTCGGCTTGGACTGACGGTGCTGCAGAGGTACTGCTGGTACTGCTGCGTGAGGTGGCTGAAGACTGATGAGTGAATCACAGTTCTCAGCCACTTCATGTGCAGCAGATCCAAGCCTCTGGCAGCTTTTTGCAGCGCTTTTGCCAATACATCCTGGAGTGGTGTTTTTTTTTGGGCCCTTACAACTGGCAACACAAGGCCTCGCCTGACAACTGCATCCTGGAGTGATGCTTTATGGGCCCTTACAATTGGCAACACAAGGCCTCGGCTGACAACTGCATCCTGGAGTGATGTGGGCCGATATATATATATATATATATATATTTTTTTTTGGACTGGTTTTTACAATGGTGCCCAAGGCCTGGGAAGCACACACATCCTGGAGTGGTGTGTAGACAAAACTTGTTTGGCTGGCTTGCCGAAGACTGGAACTTCGGCCTGGAAGCACACTGCTACAGCTGGCTCCAAAACGGAGGAAAGTGGATCGTCCGCTTGTAAGCGTGCTCAAGGTGCCTTGAGTGAAAAGATAGATCGGAGGGACGAGTATGCCGAGTAATTCGAGGAGACCCAGAACCAAAACCTCCTGCTTCAGACCCAGAAACGAACCCTCCTTCAATCTCTCTTTAGGGTCTCGGTCTTTGCGAAGTTTAAGGGTTCAGGGGTGCTCTGCGTTCTTGTGTAGGAGGGATCCTGCTTCAGACCCAGAAACGAACCCTCCTTCAATCTCTCTTTAGGGTCTCGGTCTTTCCGAAGTTTAAGGGTTCAGGGGTGCTCTGCGTTCTTGTGTAGGAGGGAGGAGTATGCTGACTAATTCGAGGAGACCCAGATCCGAAACCTCCTTAAATGCTTAGACCCAGAAACGAACCCTCCTTCAATCTCTGTTTGTATGCACATCCCTGAGACAATGATCCGGAAGCCTAAACCCCAACGCCTGAGTCCTCACACCTTATAAGGTGTGTAAGCAGTTACAGTGTTTCCAACAACCCGAACACCCATCCCTCCTTTTCCGGGGTCTTCAGGTTGAGGGATCCAGGAGCTCGGGGTTTGTGAGGGACCTGGTTATCCTCGTCATGTCGATTCTAATAGGATCCTAGCCCAACGCCTGAGTCCTCACACCTTAATTAAGCAGTCACAGTGTTTCCAACAACCCGAACACCCATCCCTCCTTTTCCGGGGTCTTCAGGTTGAGGGATTCAGGAGCTCGGGGTTTGTGAGGGACCTGGTTATCCTCGTCATGTCGATTCTAATAGGATCCTAGCCCAACGCCTGAGTCCTCACACCTTAATTAAGCAGTCACAGTGTTTCCAACAACCCGAACACCCATCCCTCCTTTTCCGGGGTCTTCAGGTTGAGGGATTCAGGAGCTCGGGGTTTGTGAGGGACCTGGTTATCCTCATCATGTCGATTCTAATAGGATCCTAGCATGAGGGAACTAGCACTTTCTAACGGTGGCATATAAGCATGGTTTATGCTATTCTTGAAATGACCTCTTTTAAGTCCCTGTGCTAAAAACACGTGTGTTGGAAGCTCCTGGTGGGTTATTTTAGGGACTTATAAGTACCATAACCCCGATTAGGGTCCCTTTTAGGGTACTTATAATTCTACTTATATACTAACTACTTACCAAGTCCCCCGACCACCCAAGTGCTTGTCATGACAGCCATCATCAACAGCAACATAATCATCAAGATCACTGAAGCCACGGAGTTTATCATGTGCATTGACCATGTTGCTGATGATCCGTTGGCATCGCGACATTTGAACCCATTCATACCGCCATGTCTGCCACTGCGACGAGGATCCTTCATAGTATGAGTATGGCTATCGCAGCAGCATACAGGTGACCTTCCGCAAGTTGCCGACACACCCGCGAAATATCCAACCTGAAAGCAGCTCGAGACCCGCAAGAACTTATGGAAGTATGAGACAGTAGTATCATTGATTTCACTGCTGTTATGAAACAAACGCACGTGTCACTAGCGGTGGCGCCTTCCTTACACTTGCTACGAGTAGGTGTGGTAGTAGTCGTCGTCGTCGCACCAGCACCAGCACCGGGACCGGGACCAGTACTAGTACTAGTAGTCGTCGTCGTACTAGCAGTCCTAGCCAGAAGTTATACATTCAGGGCTTCAGGGTGTCCACGGTTTCCCCTCCTTGGATTCAGCTCGATGGCGCGACGGTGGAGAGCAGCGCGCGTCCAGCATCCGCCACTTGCGACGACCTCTGCCAAGGTCTAGGGCTTATAGGGTTTAGGGTTTACCTGCGAAGCGGCTCAAGGGAACCTACTCAGGAGTGGCATGGGGTTCAGAGTTTCGGGAGGCTGGTGTGGAAAACTGCTATCCGTACTTTCCGATGGACAAGTCCCCTTCAGACGAATGGCAAACCAAGGGACGCACTGCAGCATTCACTCAACCGTCTCACGTCCACCAAACTTTCAGACTAAAACACACTTATCTCCAACCCTGAACTCTAAAGCCCAAACCAGAAACCCCAAAAGCTGAAGTCGAAAAAATCGACGCTCGAAATCAAGGCCCTGGAAGGCCTTGTCCCAGGGACCCAAGGAGAGGCCCAGATTGTTGAAAGCCACCTCGGGTTTGGGGTTGTGGGGTTTAGAAGACTTCAGTTTTAGGGATCAGGCTCTACGTGCTTTCAGTGTTTAGGGGATAATGGACGATCGAATTGGGGAGTTTAGGACATATGGATTCAGAGTCAGAGTTCAGGGCTTGAAAACTGATTTTTTAGGCGTGTTGGTCATAGTCTTAGAATTGAGTTTCCAGATTTTAGGATAAGGTCTTAGAATGGTTCTCATTGTTGAGCTGCTGCTTCCACAGTGAAGGGTTTGGGACTTTTGGGGTCGGGGGTGGGCTTTAAGCTTGTTGTTTCGGACTTGCTGCATCATCCCAATAAGATGTAATATTCTGATCTTCTGCTCATACACTACACTGTGCGCGATTTCGGGCAAAAAATCAGATGGACTACAGCCCGTATAGACGTGATCCTAAGATATAGGATCTAGGATCTAATATAGAGGCCTTAACATAAAGAATACGGAATTGGGAGTTTATCATACTACATTATACGAAGGAGCATTCGGAAATAGTATAGGTGATTCTCAAGGCCCCTGTATTACGTTCCAGCCCGTTACCAGATTTTCTGAAAGCTAGTGCTCATACCCATACATCCATAAAGAACTCTTTCAAGCCTCACAGAACAATCACGGGACCTTTGTTCTACTTGAGCCGGATTGTGAAGGCAGTTTTGGCCTTCCTCAGACTTCTGCACTTTACTGCGAGGAACCTTGAGAGTCCGCGAGAGTACTGAAGCATGACTGGGTTTTGCCCTGGACCCGGGCTCAGGGTTTTGGGTTTAGGGGTTTAGGGTTTCGGGTTTACGATCCAGATTTGGCAGCTACTTTACAACGCTGCCGATGTGCACTGCAACGAGCGTGTTTCCAACACTTCATAAGGCTGATGATATAGACCTTGCATTACTACCATAACAATGAACATACCAACACTCCCTTAGTGTAGGGTCCTTAAGGTATACCCATAATAATGTGCCCATCGTTTAGGGTCCTGAAGGTAATGCAGGATTTATACCATCAACAGTATCAGCATGAGCTGTTCACACAATCGCGACGACCTGAGCATCATGGCAGCGTCGAGCTTTTTCCTTTCTAGACGATTAGCTGCGAAAACCAAGCTTGTCGTGTGATTGAGGTTGCGGGTGTGGGGCCAGGCTCGGCGGAACAATTGCAAACAGGGCGCCGCAAAATTCGGATCAAGTTGGACAGCAGCGAGATAGAGCGACCTTTGCCATCAAATCAAATGAGCTGTGCTGTGAACTGTTCTGGCCGAGATTCTCCAGACACATACCCCATACCTCCCATGGCGAATGCTACTCAAAGTATTCATTCTGCCCAGAATCAGGAGTGATGGGTTAATGTGGACATTCATCGTCATAGACCCAACATTATATAAATATATAAACCCTAAACCTCCTAAACCCTGGCCTGGGCCGTCCGAGCTCTGCCAACTTTCACCGGGAAACGGTGGTGAATTGCCGCACTGTGCCGATTTAACTCTCTTCTGCGCTGGGGTTATGCCGGAGAAGGTGAAAACACTAGCAACAGCAACCCTGATCCCTGAACCCTGCCAGCACCCTCGAAGTATCCTTTCATAGGTTTTTGGGGGGTGCTGGTGAACCCTAAACCCGAAACTCCAAGCCTCTTGTCTTCGAAGACAGCAGCAGAAACCGCATCAAGACATTTTGTTGTTCCGTCTCAGATCTCTAGTGACTCTAGTGATTCTGCCGAGTGCAGCTACACAGGTCAGCATCTCCCTCTCCACTGCCGAAACCCCGAAGCCTCGAATGACAACCGTAAGCCCTAAACCCTAAACCCCTAAACCTTAAACCCTGAAGCCCTAAACCTTAAACCCTGAAGCCCTAAACCTTAAACCCTAAAGCCCTAAACCTTAAACCCTAAAGCCCTAAACTCGAAGCCCCAGCTTCGATGCCTTTGGTTCCAGCACGTGCCATCTGACAGACGAACCCAGTCCTCCGCAGAGGCTTCTGTAGTTTAAGATGACCTTACCCTAAGGCCCCAAACTAGTTCCTTTTGAGGGTTCATATTTAGAATCCTATAATGGTAATCCCAAAAAGGAACTACTTTGGGGCCTATGGGTAACCTTGGGAGACCTCCGAAACCAAAGCGCCTAAACCAATTGCTGTTGTCGGGTTGAAGGTTTTCCTGTGACCCCAAACCCTACAAAATAGTAGGTCACGACCCCGTTATTAGAGGGTAGAACCCTTAAAACGGTAGGATTTCGGATCCCCAGGTTCGGGCCAAACCAGGGCAACAATTTGGCGGACCCACGCTTGTCGTCACTCAGGTTGCACATCTCAGTGCGCATCCTACTTGGGGGGTAGGGGGACTTAGTAAGTAGGTAGTAAGTAGACATATAAGTACCCCAAAAGGGACTCCAATTGGGGTTATGGTACTTAAAAGTCCCTAAAGTAACCAGTTACTAAGTCCCCCGACCCTCCAAGTAGAGCCAACCAACCTGGGCTTCGTACCCAACCAAGGCGTGAACCCTGCTAAACCCTTCACCCCAAACAACCCAAACCTCTAAACCCTAAACCATAGCGACCTGCCGAGCCCTCTGGCCTCCCGAGCATCGCGCGAGTGGGCTGAAGGTTTGGGGCTTGAGGTTTCAGGATTCAGAGTGAGGGGTGGAAGATCACCACAATAAGAGGCCCAGAACCCGAAATAAAGTCTCAACCACCACAACACCACATCATTGACTCTCTTCTTCAACAGCCGGGCCCAAAAAAGTTCAAACTTTCTATCATGGAGCGAATATATAAAGCCAAAACGTTTAAAGATCCCCGATTCACTAAGTTGAGAAAGGAAGCCCTAAACCCTGAACCGAGGAACCTGGGATCGTCACGAGCTTGGTAACTGAAGACTTCGGCTCTTGCTTGCCCCCAGCTTTACTCGAACCTGAACCGTAAACCTGTATGGGAGTTTCCGAAAATGGGGTGTACCGTATTTGGTGGGTCCTTATCATAAGGATCCTACTATTTATGGTACAATATAAGGGTCCCCATTTTCGGAAACCCCCATATAAGCTGCAGTCAACCGTCCTTTGGATGAAGCAGGTTCGCCAAGTTGTTGTAGGCGAAGGCGTAGCCTGGATCCTCGAGGTGGTCAGAGGTCATAAAATGATAGCAATGATTTGCAGCATCGGGTTTAGTGTCAAGGTTTAGGGTTTAGGGCTTAGGGGTTTGGGGTTTGGGGTTGAGGGTCAAGGTTTATGGGGCTTGGGGCTTGCCACCTCAATCACGCCAACAGGTCCCAACATCGGCGTGTGGTAACCAGTGCAGGGTAGTACATGGAAGGCAAACTGAATCTGACGTGCGCGTCAGGTACACCAAAACCCACGAAAGCCAAACCCTAAACCCTAAACTACTAAACCCCTAAACCCTAAACCCTGAACCCTAAACACAAAAACCTAAACCCTACACTTAATACAAAACCCCACCAGGCCCCCCAAAGCTCCTCCACTCCCCGAAAGCCCGCATAGAACCCGTCTACAGCCCCTTACGAAGCCTGCCCGCAAAAGCTTAAAGCCCAAAGGCCCGGATAAACACCCAAGGCCTACGGCCATTTTAGGGTTTGGGGTCTAGGGTTCAGGGTTTACGGCCATACGGCCCTGCCTTGACCCCAAAAGTATGTAGTATTTGGTCATTATTCCATCTACTTTCGGGGGTTTAGGTAAAACCTCTTTGGAAACGTTAGCCTGTAGTACTGCTACGAACGATTACTTAACCCTAAACCCTAAACTCTAATTCGTTACTAGTTCGCGTCGTCACTAAGGGATATTGGAGTCTCTGGGAGCATAAAATCCTACTAGTAGGCACTGCATGCACCGAGGCCCGTGCAAGCTCAATCCCCCGAAGGAAGAGGCTGCGCTTGTCCCACATGCGACCGTCGGCGAGCTGGATGACCTTCATGGGGCCTATGGCGTAGAGTTGAACCTCAACCCGGACCCCTAAGAAGGGTGGGGGGGTGGGCCTTGGGCATTTGGCTCTGGGACTAAATGCCTTAATAAATTGCTTAAGGCTTGGGCTTTTGTTTCTTGGGCTTTGCAAAAGTAATCTACGCCTGGACCCTACGGAACCTACCTTTTTAGGGTTCCCTACTATGATTTCTTTATATCAGTCCTTAAAACGGTAGGTTACTTGGGGTTAAGGCAGTCCCCCGACCCCCAAGTAGCTATAGCAAACCCTAAAACCTAAAACCCAGGGTTCTTGAAAGGATAGGCTTCAGGTTCGGAGCTTCGGTTCTCTGGTAATGGGGCCCTAAACCCTAAACCCAGGGTTCTTGAAAGGATAGGCTTCAGGTTCTGAGCTTCGGGTCTCTGGTAATGGGTGCTGCGGCACCCTAAACCCTAAACCCTAAGCCCTAAACCCTAAACCGTCTCAGTCGCGGAGTCAATCTTGGCAACGAGCTGTAGCTACCGGCAGCTTGTGGGGCAAAGGCGTTGGTTGTACATTGTATCAAAGATGGGAGTTGCAGAGAATAGGGGAACGCAGCTTGAACCTTAGTTTAGAAGGCGCGCCTCACATCTTAGCACACGAATCCGGCACAGGCCACCGAAAACCCCCAAAGCCTGAATCCCAAAATCCCAGCAGTTTGGATATTAAGGGGCTTAGGGTTTCTGGTGCAGGATTTGTAGTTCAGAGTGTAGGCCTTGCGGATGTGACTCTAGTCTAATACCCCTAAACACTAAGCCTGAATACCTCTAAACCCTAAGCCCCACCACTCCCAGTACCCCTACTACCCGTAAGTTCAAGGGCTCAGAGTTCATGCCGGGTTCTGATGGCCTCAGATCGCCCAAGGACGACACCGAGGTTGCCTGCGAAGCTAGGCGGCTTTCCTGTAAACACTACAGTGTGTACGGTTCGCGGAATATAGAGTTCAGGGCCAGTTTAAGGATTAGCGTTCAACAGCACGAAGTCAGTATAGAGGTATAGCTAGACTTCAATAGTGGTTTGTGGGTCTTTATGTCGGTATGACGTAGAGGCCGTGACGGCTAGAACTGGCTTGCTGGATATGTTGCAGTTTTGTTGCAGGGACGTTGGGGAGATAACTCCAACCTCCATATCGCACACCTGTTGGGTACGGTTAGTTAGAATCAGTGAACATGCACAAGAACCATCTGTTTCAACAATGGAGGTAGTACTGACAACAACACAAACGGCTGTAAACATCAATGTCTGTGGAAGTAGTGCTGCCACTGGGTCTACTTGGGGGGTCGGGGGACTTAGTAAGTAGTTAGTAAGTAGACTTATAAGTACCCTAAAAGGGACCCTGGGGTTATGGCACCTATAAGTCTCTAAAATAACCAGTTACTAAGTCCCCCGACCCTCCAAGTAGTGGAACGTTTCACGACCCTTGGGTCGGTCCTTCGGAATGCCAGAGCAATGCAGCTGCCATTCGCACGAGATTCGGCTTGGAGGGGCTTAGGGCTCGGACTTAGGGAGTGGAATTTCGGATGGAATTAGAGTTTAGGGCTTCGGGTTTTAGGGTTTAGGGGCGTAGGGTTTATAAAGTTAAGGGTTTAGGGTTTAGGGGCTTAGGGCTAAAAGTGTAGGGCTTTAGGGTCGGTTTCATGAAGGTTAGGTTTAAGGGTCTTAAGTAACTAATAATCATATACTCTCCAAAATCCTAACCTACATAACTACTATCCTAGAACCGAGTACCTAATTATTGGGTCCTTTGGACCCTTGGGGTAGGGTGGGTTTTAGGATTCAAGCTCAGTCCGAGATGCAATGAGCCACGGCATTGCCAGGATCGAGTTCCACCTCGGATGATCAGCAAAACCCAAAAGCCAATTAGGGTTTAGGGTTTAGGGTTTAGGGCAACTAGCAATAGTGTGCCAAATGGTCGCTTCAAAAAATATACCCGCAAACCCTGTTCTAATCAGTTGCCCCTTTCATTAAGACTTTCCGGTAAGTCCTCCTGACATCACCACCGCCGTCGTTAAAACTTGTCTCGATATATATATATATATATAATACATATATGTACGAGGAAGGAACTGCTTTCCTGGTTCTTCCTACCCATAAATGGGGCGTTCTCTACATCAGAGTTGCTTTTAGGGTCCCTTACAACAGGTGCCGTACTATTTCGATGACCTAAAAAAAGGATCCTGACTCAGACAGAAAGCCTTATCGTACAATAAAGTAATAAAGACCCTATAGAAGCCGATCCCTCTAAGGAGCCCGAAAAAGGGACCATAGCCCTATATGAAGACTTCCGCGCCCAGGGTTTACTGCTCGACTCGACCGGCTCGAAGTCTTTAGGGTTCACGGTTGTGGGTTTAGGGTCTATATAGGTGTACAGGTGTATAGGTTTGTAGGTTTATAGATTTACAGGTTTAGGGTTTAGAGTTTAGGGGTTTAGGGTGCAGGGGGTCTACGACCGCCAAGAGCGGCTTCAAAACCCGAAAACCTTGAGGGTCCAAACCCTCCAACAATGGAGTAGGACAACGGATTCGGCATCCCGAAACAAACCTGTCTTTAAATTATCGGGCTCATGCATCAATCCCCGAAGTCTGTGACCCGAGAATTGCAAAAAACACAAAACACGCTGAGCTGGCGGCAGCTCGGGCGAAGAGTGCTCGTTGATTCATCTCGCGGCCCTTGAGGTTGCAGACCTGGCTGTCTCTCTACAGCGTAGGGCTTTCGAACAAGAACTTACGGGGTATCTTTTAAAGGGTCGCTTGATGGGATTCCTTGCGGTTCTTCAGATTGCAGACCTAGCTTTCTCTACAAGGTTGATGAGGTTCAGGGGATTTGAGGAATCGCACAGGGCTTCTATTTCGGCAGGATCAGGGCTTCCGTGGAAGAAGGGTATAAGCGGTTTAGGCTGGGGGGGGTTGGGGTGCATAGGATCTAGACTAGAATTGAGGGCTCAAACTTGTCGGCTTCCAGGGTGTAGAGGACAGGCTGTAGCCCCTTCGGGTGCATGAGCCAAAATGTCTTAGAGGTCTACCGTCTGAAGAACTTGAGATATCCTGGGACTTGCTATCAATCCGAGTTACAAATTGGATAACACCAGTTTCGACATTTGCCACTCTGCTTAAAGCCAGTTTGCTGAGTCACCTGCTCATCTCAAGAGCCCTTACCCCTAAACCCCTAAACTCCTAAACCCCTGAAAACCCCAAACCCCTCGACCCCCACACCCCTAAAGGTCAAAAAGCCCATAGAAGGCGGGGCCTCGTCCGTGTCCAGCATGGCCCCCAACGAATTATGCGCGCTACCTGGGAGATCGGTCGGCCAGTTTCAGGATGTATTCGGTTTAGGATTTGGGGTTTACTTGGTCTTAGGGTTCAGGGTTTATTCGGTTTAGGATTGGGGGTTTAGGGGTTTTTAGCTTTCAGGGTTTATTCGATCGGGGGTTTAGGGCTCTGTTTCTTATTGAGCACCTTTCTCTGAGGGTTTAGGGTTCAGGGTTCGGGGTTTAGGGGTTAAGGGTTTATTAATGGCCTGGCTAGGGTTGAAGACTCTAGGGCCTTGCCCCAAGTTCCTGCAAAGAAAGGGCAGAACAGGGACTGCTAAGTATACCCATCCAAAGATCCAAGGGTAAAAGGAGGGACCCTTAAAACGGACCTCTAGGTACAGAACCTTAATATAGCTATGATATACCCATTATCTAGCCCATGAGAGGTTAGGGGTCCCCCTTAAGGGTCCCTCCTTTTCCCCTTTGAAAAGACAGGGCAGAAGAGGGGGATCTAAGCTCAGGTTTCACTTAGGCCTTTCGATTTGCAGTTTTGGGCCAGGCCCTTGAGGGTTTTCGTTCAGCTGGCTTGCAAAAAAAGCAGTTCTCATCTCAAACTCAGCACTGGGAGATTCCCTCATCCAAACCAAAAGCCGGACCCTACTGCTGATGGACAAAATCCTGCATTACCCTTTATAAGGAATATAACATAGTTCCCATAGTTTAGAGCCCTTAGGGTCATGCAGGATTTTGTCCATCAGCAGTGTTTCCGGGGCCTTCATAATTAGACAAAAGATTTTGGAGTATGCTGTACGCGCTAGAAATAGTAGCTCTTCATTCAAGTGCCTGCAGCACTGCAGTACACGCTACACATGAAGTCCCAGCCACCCTCGATCCGAACCCCCTCCCAAACAAAATTCAGTTTCCAAGCGATCTCCATCGAACACTGGGCTTCGGCTTCATCTGAACGCATTTAGTCAAGAGTCTGAGTAACTAGTACCGCAACGCAACCTGAAGAGGTTTGACGAGGCTTTGAAAGGGCTTTAAACGATCTCACCTCGAGCCAACAAGCCAAGAAGCTGTGGCTCTCGTCTAGCTCTGCCGCCTACCGCAACGCGAGCGAATGGAGCAGTCGAAAACCATCCCCCAAAGGCTCCATGTAGCCTTATAGTAGATACTTAAGTTTACTTAAGCCTTAAAGGGGTCCCTATACAGGTACTTTAAGGCCTGAGTATCACACTATCGGGGCACATGGAGACTTAGGGATCTGTACAGCCCCGCATCGGAAGCTGAAAGCCTGGAGCCATGCTTGAGCTTCAGGGCCTTAAGCCTCAAACCCCGGTTTAAAGTTTAGGGTTTCGGGTTCAGCCTGAAGCCTCAAACCCCACACTTACCTTTGGTTAGTAGGGGATAGAAGAATGGTAGTAATTGTAGTTCTACTTGTACCCCATTCCTCCATTCCCTACTAACCAAAGGTAAGCACAGCCCCGAAGCTCGAAGACAAGACCCTACCCAAACCCCGGAAAACCAGGTAAAACACTTGCCCAAGACCGATGAAAGGCCATGAGTCTACGTACTTGTGGGGTCTAGGTAACTTACTACCCCAAAAAGCAACGGAAATAGAAGGTTAAACTTGCCGATTCCTACTAAACCATAAGAACCCGAAAAAGTGTTTAAAGGTTAATATTGGGGATCTAAGGTACCCAGAGGCCCCAAAGTAGTTCCTTTTTGGGGATTACCCTATAGGGTTCTATATATGAACCCCAAAAAGGAACTGCTTTGGGGCCTTAGGGTAAGCACCAAGCGAGTCCTGAGTCGGTTCCGTGTCCCGGTCGCGAGTCCAGATTACAAGTCGAGGGTTCGAGGACCGATGGGTTGAGAGTCGGGGTTTGAGACTTTGCACCTAATTATGGGACAATACCTGAACCCGAAATCTACACCTAACTATACAACAATACCTGTACTCCAAAAGTATGTAGAATAATGGCCTTATATAAGGGTTTAGGCCATTGTGTTACCTACTTTCGGGGGTTTAGGTTACAATAACAACCATACTGTAATCATCACCATATTAATAAAAACGGGTAGATAACAAAGGTACCAGCGTACCAGTGACAGTCAGACTTGCAGCAGCGACCGTATTGATGATGAAACACAGAGGGGGCTGCAACAAGGACGAAGACGCCTTGGCGTGCAAAGCTCGCTTTGAGACGAGGAGGCCATCCGGCAGGCGCAAACTCTCGCCTGGTGAGTTCAAGGCTAGGGTAATGTGGAGTGCCTTATTACTGTAAGCACTAGAAGTCATTACAATAAAGTGTTGGGGTCCCTTATAGTATACTTACAAAGGTACTACAAAGGTCTCCCATTACTAACCTCTCCCGAGCTTCGCATGACACGACATGCTGCTTGGTAGGTGCGTCCATGGCAGGTGACCATCGCATGTTTTGTGTTCAGGGGCTTGGCTTCGCCCTGGAAGTGGAACAAACTCGCTGTAACGGCTGAATTGCGAACCTTGGGTTTAGAGTTTGCAGTGTTCCAGCTGCACGGTGTACTGCAGGGGCCTTAGCAAATATGAAACTATAGTTATAATGAGGAACCCCAAAATAGTAATATTGTAGCTAATGATTAAGGCCCCGATATTAGACAGGCCGGTTGAAAACCGAAGCCCCGATGCCTCGGCGCTATTTAAAGAACTCTACACGCTCATGCAGATTTCACGCGCTGTAGAGACCCGAACCTTAAACTTTTCAATTCCTCAGCTTCAAGGAAGCTCTCCCCAGTTTCGGGGACGCCTGGAAAAAATGCCTTACCCTAAGCCCCATGCCCTAGATCCTTTGTTTTGGGGTTTTGGAAACCTAAACCTCCGAAGCCCCTTCTGTGCAGGAAGCCTGGCAGGAGCGTGGAGCCCAAGTTTTCAAAGGCCTCCAAGACAGTTTCGAGTTATAGGGTTTGGGGTTCATCTCAACCTTTTCAGCAGTGAGGGTACTTAGAATCTCGCAGCACTTTGCAAGTACGTAGTAAGCAGGTGACTGGTAGGGTTCTCGGACAAGTATACAGCTAATTAGAAACCGGGTTGCTAGGTCTCATGATCCTTCAAGTCAATATCCTTTTCACGAAAGGTCTGGGGCTGCGGAGGTTTAGAACCTACTGTGTTGAAGGCGTAAGGTCATAGACGTCGGTGCCCGAGTGCAGCCTGCAATCTCAGGGTACGATGTTTGCATAGCCTGTAAAGACTCTAAAGTGGGGGTGTAAGGCTTCGGGTTCAAGGGGTGAGTAGATTCAGTTGGCTTCAAAGACAGAGGTCTGTCCCTTAGGTTTGCGGTGTGGAAGGCCTGAAAAGCTCTACGGGCTCGAAAGTCGTGCTGGCCTATTATTAGGGCATGAGATCTGGGATCCTCATGATCCTTTTCTGGGATCCTGACGGTCATGATCTTGAGACGATCACGGGTACTCATGATCATACATATAAGCCTAGACCCAATGTACTACCGCCTAAATTCCCACTAATAAGTAGTAAGGTAAGGGCTCTATTCAAGAGCACTTGCCGTCCTAGACTAACCGTGAACCTTCAGTCCCCGGAGTACCATCCGACCTGGGCATTCCGTGGATCGGCGCTGAGGATATCAAGGTAGGCGCCTCTGTCATCCTGCAGCGTCGTTGCGTGGACAGGGCTGGCATCGTCACGAAGTGTGATAGACTTAAGGGCTACAGCTTTTAACATTGGACCTTATTTCTGGAGGTTCCGCTGTTCAGGTTCAAGTGGCATTTCGGCATAAGGTGTTTTGGCCATCAGCGGCTGTCCATCGGGGGTTCGGGGTAGTTGGTGCAAATGTCTTAAATAATTCGTACTAAGGGATATGGAGTAGGGGGTTAATTACCGTTTTGGTGAGTGTAGATAGGGCTCCCTTTTAATATTGGTGAGTGTATATATTGGGTTTTAAAAAGGGGATACTAGTAATATACTGTAAACCATACACCAGGCTGGCCTAGTCCTCAGCATCACTTTCATCCCCGCAGCAGCAGCGAAGGTACTTCAAAGGAGGTTCCAAAAAACTTTGGACATCGCTTGGAACCTCCTCCTGGGCCTCCTGGAAGTCGACCGGATCTTCCAGCCACGAAGGCGGCCACGAAGGTGGAGGCTGCTCCAGGTTCGGAAGCGGCTCCAGGTTCGCACTTTCGCGAGTGCGACGCCGCTCACTGCGCTCCGCAGCCAGGCGCATCCGCTCGATGGCCCTCTGGACTCGCAAGCGCCTGGGCAAATGAAGCTCCGCTAGAGCCTCCAGCCCTGCACTGCAAATTGAACGTGCGAACCCAAAACTCATTGCGGTGTTCACCCAGAACTGCCACGGTATCACGGATAGGGGAAGAAGTACACACGTGCAACTGCTTCTATATCCACCCATATAGTATGCATACACAGAGCATACACAGAGCATGCTCGCTTGCACACATGTAAAGCATGCATGCATACTTTTACGGACGTGCAGCCAAGCTGTCGGTGTATGTACGTCCCTGATTTTGCATACTCCATCCATCCCTCCCTCCCCCCGTCCGTCCCTCCGTGCGTCCGTCCGTTCGTCCGTCCACACAGTGCATAACATACATATGCACACACACACACACACATTCACGCCACACCTATGTCTCCACTACCTGTATACTCTACATCCAACAAGTATGGAGCTCAGTATTGATTGTTTCGCGGTGATTTCCCCAAGGGTTCATGTGCAAATAGTATATGCTTTGGCCCCGAAGTACCTACATAGGGACTACTTCCAGGCCTATGCAGACAACGATATGGGCACATGGACCCCTAAACCCGATACCCGATAGACCCTTTAAGAAACCCTTATGGTGCCCTTAAAGGAACCCATTAGAGTTTCAAACGGGTCCTAGTCTTACATAGGGCCTGGCAAGTGGAGTAAGGTCCCGAAACCCGAAAATGAGGGCTGCTTATAGGGTTTAAGGGCTCCGAGTTTAATTACGGTTTAGGGTTCAAGGTCTAAGCGTTCCGAGTTTAATTAGGTCTTGAAGGGGTTTGGGGCGTTTAGGGTTCATCATTGCGTCGCAAATCGTGAACACCATTTCCGCCACGTAGTAGGGGCGCAACAAGCTCGTATCCTAAATTCCCGAAGTACATACATACACACATGCATAGATATGACCCTACAAGACGCTTTTCAAGCCCCTTTGACTGCTGAAGCTACCTGCCTCCCTTCTTCAACAACCGGGCCCCAAAAAGTTCAAACTTTCTAAGATAGAGCTAATGTATAAGGCCAACAAGTTGAAAGTTCCCCCGTTCACTATGTAAGTTTTAGGGACTTATAAGTACCATAACCCCAGTTAGGGTCCCTTTTTAGGGTACTTATAAGTCTACTTACTAACTACTTACTAAGTCCCCTGACCCCCAAAACCCTAAACCATATACTACCCTTGTAGAGCCCTTTAAAGGCCCCCTTAGAATCCCGTTTAAAGGAGCCCTTACTAAGTCCCATCACTGCCTGGCAGCCGGGAAGTTGTCTCGCCGAGACCCGCAGGCGGGCTTGCATGCTTAAAGGATCATGGGACTTGGTAACTAGTAACTAGGGTGATAATGAGGGTTTCTATACTTATAACCCCAATTAAGGTACTTAGAACCTTACTTACTAAGTCCCATGATCCTCCAAGTGCCTGCCCGAACCCTAAACCCGGAGGTTGAGGGTTGCTTCCGAGACCCCCGGGAGGATCCAAAAAGTAGATCCCCTAATGGGGGTTCCTGTGAAGTACCCTTAGTAGTATAGGGCCCCAAAGTAGGGGATCTACTTTCCAAATCCTCCCGAAATTCTGGGTTGTTGAAGTGTTTAGCGGGTTTGGGTTGGGTCAAGGTTTCTAAAGGGGTCTGCGGTTTGCCAGGGTTGTTAGAGGAGTTCTCAAGGGGGCTTCAATGTGCCCAAGGATATTTCGTCCAGGGTGCGGAGGAGGAAGAGGAGGTCTTTAACTGTTTAGGATGGAGTAATGAGTTCAGGGGCACAAGGGTTTAGGGCTTGGGGTATAAGGGGTAGGGTTTGGGGATTATGGTATAGGACCAAAACGCATAAAGCCCCTAAAAAACACCATTGCAAACTTCGCACGTCTCTTACTTGCATGCTACCAGCACTTCGGCCACCGGACCCTAAACCCCAAACTCTGAACCCTAAACCTTAAGCTCGAAGCCCTGAACGTTGTGCGGATGCAGGAGACAGGGCTCAATCGGCTGAGGGTGGAGATCACATTTCCGGGAGCGGGGCCTTTGGAGCTCTGTGGCTTGTGGGGCACTGCTGTTGGGCGAGGTTTAGGGTTTAGGGTTTAGGGTACTTCTTCTTGGCTAATCTCGTGCCTTTGCCCCCCATGTGCATGTTATCCAACTACTTGAGCCGATTCCCAAACAAAGAAGCGCGCGGCCGATTCGAAATTGCGTGAAGCGACCGGGCGGCTTCGGCTTTCACGACCCAAGACCAAACCAGAACAAGAAGCATCCATCTATCCATCTATCCATCTGATCTATCCATCTGATCTATCCATCTGATCTATCCATCTATCCATCTATCCATCTATCCATCTATCCATCCATCCATCCATCCATCCATACATCCATACATCCATACATCCATGCATGCATGCATGCATCCATCCATCCATCCATCCATCCATCCGTCCCTACGCCTTAATTACGTACATGCATACATGACATACGTATACGCGTGCATATACATTCCTACATCCATATGTACACACATACGTACATATATACGTACGTACATATACATACACTGACATGCGTGCAGACATACATGCATGCATGCATACATACGTACATGCACAAATACATATTTGTACGTACATACACAGACGTACAAACATACTGAGTTACATCCTGACACCCATACATGACCTGCATACATACGCAGGTACATGCCACCCATACATGAATGCATACCTACATAGACAAAACAGACAGACAGACAGATGGATAGACCGATCGAGGAGGAAGTAATATCTCTGCATGTCATTAAACTGCACAGCCACCGAACCAAAACCAACACGCGCACACAAGCAGAAGAAAGAAAAGATAAGACAGGGCAACACCCCCTGCTCTTTTCTACATCGCAGAGGGTTAGTCTGCACCTGATTTCTGAGCTGCCTGCACAGCTGCCCAACACTCTCGGGTTGAGGGCCTGACCTTTGTTGAGGAAATCTGGGCTCATGGGCATCGGGGTCCTTATGTTGGGTTTAGGCTATGTTGGGTTTAGGCTTTACCACTTCCGGTGCCCCATATTGAGTGTGGGATTTATGGTTGAGGGCTTCGGTAGCCTCATGTTAGGTTCGGAGCTCTGTGACATCCCTTCATGCCTTGCACCGCTGCATGCCCACTTCTCTACTTGGAGGGTCGGGGGACTTAGTAACTGGTTATTTTAGGGAGTTATAAGTACCATAACCCCTATTAGGGCCCCTTTTAAGGTACTATATAATAGACTTATAAGTCTACTTACTAGCTACTCACTAAGTCCCCCGACCCCCCAAGTAGGTCCAGCTGGAGTGCGGGAGTCTTGGTCCTGGACACCATAAATGAAGATCAAATCCCAAATTTCCATGATTGTCGCTACTTGCACTGTTTGGCCAACATTACATTATTCGACCTATGTCTCGGTATTCTTCATCATGGGTCTAAGGTTTTGGGGCGCATTATATAGTGAACCCCAGAAAATTGGAACATAGATTTAGGATGATTCCTGGGATTCCTTATACTTTGCTTTAAGGGCACGAGGCCAATGATGTTCCAACTTTCTAGCTTCTACGGTACTACAATTATAACAAGGAACCCCCAAAATAGTATAGGTAATAATTGATAATTTAGGCCCCTAGGGTTTGGGAGCTTAAGGGCTGTAGAGTGGGTCATCCGAAGCTGCGTGGCTGGGAGTGCAGCTTTGCTGCATGTTCAAACCGCCCCAAAGGCGCAGAGAAGATTTCCGAATTACGGGACGAGCGTCTCCAGCGTGCCCTGTGTCCATAATGCAAACTCGTAACCAACATGAAATCCCAAAGCAGTGGTAGGAGTGGCAGCAGTAAGAGCAGCGGTAAAGACAGTGGCAGTGGTAGTGGTGGAGGCATACCAGGCAGCAGGTAGCAGTAGTAGCAGCAGTGCCGACAGCCAGTGGCAGCGGAAGCAGCAAAAGTGGGAGTAGCAGCAAGTGAAGTAGTAGGAGCAGTAGTAGGAGCAGGAGCCGGAGTAGTAGGAGTAGGAGCAATTAGGAGTAGGAAACCGAGTTGTAGGAGTAGTAGCAGTAATAGTAGCAACGGCCGCATAAGAACCAGGGCCGAAGATCGCGATTTTGGATGATTGAGCTACGGAGGCTGCAGGCAAAAACTGTCATAGCTGTGTAAACCCCGCCCCAAAACCCTGAACCCGAAAGCTTGAACCCCAGCACGTCCTAAGTCAGAGCAAAATAGCAGCTCATCCCGGCCTACTAGCTACTGAGCATACGGCTCTCGTTGAATGAAGGGACCTTTACAGGGAGGTACAAGGGCACTATAAAGGGAAGTAGATCGGAACTCTAAAGGATCTATAACACTTTGGTAAGGGTTCGGGGTTTGGGGTTGATTAAGAAGCCTGAATTAGCAATACTTTTCCTCTGGGTTCCCCATGGTCTATCTAGTGCAATACGCCGCAAAAGCCCGAGCCTAACTGTTCAGGGACACCTACATCAACTGCTGATGTAAGTAAGCTGGTCGTACATCGGAGGGGCAGCTTTAACCCCGAACCCTACGAGTCCTCTGCAGTAAAGCTGATGTCCCGAACATGCTAAGCTGAGTGCGATCTTTGGCTGACACATGCCCATCGAGGAGCCAAAAGTCAAACAGAGACTGAACCATATACGGACGCTGTGCCGAAGACCAGAACCCCTAATACTGAGACCGTTAGACTTTGGCCCAGCACCTCAAAGCCCTTAGCGAAACGTGTGGGGTTTTAGCCTTCGGGGACTCAGGATTCTTGGCCTTAAGGCGCAACAGCTCAGTTAATTAGAATAAGGTTGCGGGGTAGAAGATACCACAAAAAAGACAAGGAACCCCAATAACAGTATTGGTAGTTCTTGTTAAATGGGAGTTTCCGAAGATAGGGGACCCTATTGTAGTATATACCCTGAATAGTAGGATCCTTAAAAAACAGGTGCCCCTAATTGTTGGAAACTCCCAAATGCCCCGATAGTCAGGCTTCAGGATCTTCGTCTTTCTTTGAGAGCCGCAGGCATATGGCAGGGCCGAAGCAAAACGGGCTCCAGCAGTGAAACAGAGGGTTTGGGGTTTATAGGGTTTGGGGCTTAGGTAGACATGCACCAAAGATAGGGTCGGGTTGAGAAGGCATGCTGGAGTAGAAGCAGGGATATGCCTATATATCTTATACAGAGATGCTTTTTACGCATGCGGATCTTCAAATAGCTACACAAATGATTTATACTAGCTCCGCGGCCTTGTTGGCGGTCTGGCCACCCTCCACTTGTTTACTTTGTGAACTATAAGTCCCTAACCCCAAACCCTAGAGCCTAAGGCCTAAAAACTAGATCCTTTGAGCAGATCTCCAGGTCTAGGGCCTAGGCTTTGCAAGGGCTCCATCTTGTGACGAGAAACGAGGGGTTTAGGGTTTAGGGACGGGGATTAGGGTTTAGAAGACATGGCAGCTGCCGAAAATACAGGGGGCCCAATCAAGCAGGCTTCCTTACGCACACAACATGGCATCGAAAATAACGGTAGAGGAGGGGCGGGGGGGGGGGACTTCGCGTAGCAAATGCTTCTCCCCGAAAGAACCTACCTTGTTGGGGCTCCTTATTGCAATTTCCTTGTGTAAATCCTTAACTCTGGGGTTAAGGTAGGGTTTGGGGTGTGTTGAAACATGGCCTTTCAGGCGCCTTCCCAAGGGATGTTACCTCGGACAGCTGCCCAGAGACTCCAAGATCCCTTAACTAAGGAGTATACCTTAAATCGTGAAAGGATCCCTATAATATGATTTAAGGCTACTTTAAGGTATATTCCTGAATTAAGGGATCTTGGAGTCTCTGGGTGCAGGGAGCAGGGCCGTGTTGGATGCAAGGCTTCCGGCTTGGGGTTGTAAGCAGCTCATGTGGAGTGTACGTACTCCATGGCCTTGGAGGCTATCTATGTAGGGCCAATGGTAGGGTGTGCAGTGGCCTGCATGAAGCTTAGCAAAACCATACATGGATGGCGTAGAGAAGCGTGCATCAACATAAGCTTTCAACATACAACAGACACCTTGACCCTGACCCGAAAACCCCGAAGAAACTCATGCTCCGAATGAGCCTGAAACTCTCTGTGCACGGTGCTCTGCAGGCCGGTGCCACGGCACGCTGTGGCAAACTTGAACCAAGCTCGCTTTGAGGTTTACCGTAGAGCTCACGCGACTTTGAATCCCACCGAAGCCCTGCCAGCGTTATCCTAGAGTGAGCAACCCGAAGCCTGCCAGCTCAAAGGGTCCAAGTAATGGTATAGTATTTTTTGGGGGCCAAACCAAACATCTACCAAGAGCTGGTACATGGACACTTTGGGAAAGTTTACTGTAGACGTTTAGAACTAAGCCTCCTCCCTTTTAACCCGAAAGAACGGCAACGCCCCCCAAGCCGGATCCGCAAAGGAGCGTGGTTTTAAGGTTTAACTTAACGTCCCGAAGGTATAACATGCGCCCCCCAATTGCGAAAGAAGCCACCCAAAGTGCCCGAAACCCTGAACACCAAACCGAAACGCCAGCCGCGAAAGCCTCACAAACACGAGAATCACCGGCAAAAGGATCCTTAACAGACGCAGCAGTACACCGAAATCCTAAACCCCCTTCCGCTGATCAAATCAGGACATTGTAAAACAAAGGTCTCTACTTTAGCTAGATCCCAACTAGTAGCACCCTTGTTACAAAGCCTCCCTTCACTTGTCAAAAACCACGTTTCAAAGGACCGCGACATCACAATGCTCAGGGTGAGGCTCGCCCCTAAGGGGCGACATCCTTAGGATGATCGATGGGGTTTGAGGGCTTCAGTCAGTGTCAAGGGATTTTCGCGCAGGTTTGGGGATTTAGGGATTCAGAGTATGGACTAGCAGGATTTATTGCTTTGGGGGGAAAGGGGATCCAGGGCTTAGGGCCTAAAAGGGGTCAGCATTTAGGGCCACAAGTTTGAAAGGATTCAGGGTTTAATTAGGTGTCCAGGCAGCCTTCACCATTTAAGAACCTTCATTTTTTGAGACAAGAGGTTGAGGCATAGCGATTTAAGGTTTCGGGTTTGGGTGCTGGGGCTGCTTGGGTTTCAGGGGTTGCGTACAATTGGTCTTGTCTGATTCCTCCAACACAAGTGGCCAAACCCTACAACACCCAACCCTGAGCCTGTATTCAAAATCAAAGCCTAACCCCATATCCTAAGCTCTAACCAAAAAACCTGCAGCACTGACCCTCAAACCCCAAAGCCCTAACCTCCAAACTAACAACCCAAAACCATCAAACCGAGCAGCCCCCCTAAACCCTAAACCCTAAATCCTAAACCAAAATCCTAAACCCGGAACCCAAGAAAACCATGAAACCCCAGCAGGCGAAACTGTCTAAACTTCCTCAAACCCTAGGTCAATTTCCACTCCTTTCATACGGTCAGCAAGATCTAGCTAAAAAAAGGAGCCTGAGCCTTTAGAATAGGGTTTGGGGTTTTGGGGTTTAGGGTTTAGGGTTTAGGGTTTTGGGGTTTAGGGTTTAGGGTTTAGGGTTTCTGCTATAATTACAATAAGGAACACCCAAAACAGTCTAGGTAATCATCAAGGCACCTATACTTGCTGGAAAGGAATTGGCAGAACGCAAAGACGACCTGAAAAACTCTCGAAAGGAGCATAAGCCCTGAACCCTAAAACACCTGTAACATCACCTTAAGCCTTAATCTCTACATCTACTTCGGTACTCGGTTCAGGGTCTACGATTTTGGGGTACTATTCCTTTACATGCTCGGATAGCTCATGACGGGTTGTCGAAGCTGCTTGGAAGCACCGAGGCTCTGGAGCGTTCAGGGTTAGGACTGTTTCGGGGTTTAGGCTGTAGGGTTTTGGGGTTTCTGAAGCTTACAAACCCTAAACCCTAAACCTTGAACCCCTAACCCCTTAAGGTTCAGGTCGAGCTGCGAGGTACGGTTTAACTGTTCGGGGCCTACAAGATGGAGGACCTCAGGAGGCATTGAAGTAGCTAACTCTTAGTCCTGACAGGCCCTTACTGTCAAGCACTCTTTCGTTGACATGGCCTGGCGTCATTTCTGATCCTTCATCCGAGGCAGCCACTTCATGAAAAATCCGGTGGATCTCAGCTGCTTCAGCTCAGGGCTGTACCTGGAACGCCGGATGGGGCTTTAGGGTTTATAGGTTTAGGGGTTTAGGTTTTAGGGTTTATAGGTTTACGGTTTAGGCTTTAGGGTTTAGGGGTTTTAGGGGTTTTAGGGGTTTAGGGATTTAGGGATTTAGGGTTTAGGAGTTTAGGGTTTAGGGGTTTACGGTTTAGGGGCTTAGGATCTAGGATTTAGGAGTTTAGGGTTTAGGGGTTTAGGGGTTTAGGGGTTTAGGGTTTGCGGGTCGAAGGGTTCAAGATTTCAAGCTTTCGGGTCACAAGGAGTTCAAGATCGCAGGGGCTTTCAGGCCGAGCAAGGAACCCTTGTACTGCTTGGAGGGTCCGGGGACTTAGTAACTGGTTATTTTAAGGGCTTATAAGTACCATAACCAGAATCAGGGTCCCTTTTAGGGTACGTATACGTCTACTTACCAACTACTTACTAAGTCCCCCGACCCCCCAAGTGTCTTCTTGCTGAACACGTTTACCCCACGTTTACGTTCCCTGCCGCAGCAGAACTTACGATGTCAAGAACTATGTTGGGCTCAGACATCTCCTAGACACACATGCCTGGATTTTGCTTTGTGCATGTATATGTATTATGTACATGTAGATGTACAGATCTATAATATATGCATATGTATATGTCTACCTCAGGGTATACATAGTCATATGTATGTGCATATATGTAACATATGTACGGGTGTGAGGCCACAGTACCACGCCCCCGGGCCGTAACCCCAACCCGTGCTAGGGGAGATGGGGAAGCTCTTGTGGGCTCTTGTTAAGGAACTTAAGTTCCTTGAGTTAAGTTACCACCCTAAACCCTAAAGCGACAACCCTAAAGCGAAAACCCTAAACCCAAAACCGTAGTAATAAGGGCTAGGGACTATAATGGGCCCTTAATCGCAAACCCAACTCGCTAGGCTGAAGCCGGCAAAAACAGAAAGCTTTAAGCCTTGCTTCGGGCAGAAGGGAAAGGCGGGTGATGAATGCAGATTTTTGCAGATGAATTGCTCTAGTGCTGTGCCTTCCAGCTCCTATGCTTGCTGAAGCACTCCCACGACCATGTTCCACACTTCTGAATTGCCTATAGTCTCCATTGTAGTTCCTTTTTTTGGCTAACCAAAATCTCTATTATAGGGTCCTAACCATAAAATTGGATAATCAAAAAAGGATTTACAATGGAGATTATATGTGAAATCTCAAAGTGGAACCTCAACACTCAACACGACACACCCTGAACCTTCAACACCAACCTAACCAGTAGTTTTTCCCTTGGCTCTTTAGCTCCTTATTTAATAGGGATTATCATCATCCCTTCCTCCTTAGCTCCTCCAATATCAATGGTTAGCAAACGCCGAACTCACTGCTCTTGGTATTCATCGCTTTGACTTTGGCGAGATCGCGAGACGAGAAAACAGCCAAGAGGGCACGTGAGCGGGCCGGTGCCCATGGGCACCTGGCTTCGGGATTTAGGGCTTTAGGGCTGTAGGGTTTGAGGGTTTTAAGGTTTTAGGGTTTAGGGTTTAGGGTTTTAGTGTTTTCGTGCTTACTGTAGGGTTTAGGGCTTCGCGTCTTGGCTTCAGGGCATCGGGGCTTGCGGGTTGTGGGTTCTGCTGCTGCGCTGCTGCTGCTACGATGGCGATGATTACTAGTGTAGGAACGTGATTAAGAAACCTTGGGCCTTTATTCGGGTTCCTTGTGAATCCTACTATTTTGGGGCTTTAGGCCCAGGGTTTCTTCATCAAGTTCCTATAGTACTAAGCAGAATGAGATTGGGATGAGGAAACATGACTACGAACACCGCTGCTCCTGTCTAGCCTTCATCGCTACTACCATCAAAATACTATCACAGCCATCGTGCGTGGCGCAGTAACGGACTTGCTTTCGGTCACTATGCTCCTACTTTCTTTTCGGCGCCGGAGACCTGTGAAGAGATCCTGCCATGCAGCTGCCGTTGTCCATATCACATCACCAGCTGCTTTTGCTTCTATGACAAACCCTGAAGGTCCATGTACCTGTACAGAGACTACTTTAAGCCCAACGTATATATATATATATATATGTATGTATATATATATATGTACATACTATACCGGTACATGGACCCTTACAAAAATTGCTTCCTCTGTTTCTCGCACATTGGCATCGCCGCCGGTCATCGAAGCATTCTTTAATTCCGACACCTCCTTCCCCCGAAACGAGTCTTTCAGCTCTTTCATCACCACTTGTCCAGTATCCTGAGGGAAATAAAGGTTAAGCTTCAAGGCCATACACGGAGTATAGTAGGCTAAAGGTTACCTACCCTGCCACTCTTAATGAGGATGGTGGTGTGCCTGCCGACCTGTCTCTAATCTGCATATAGTAGAATTAACAGTACTGATTGTCAGTGTGATTCTGATTCGTTTAGTGGAATTAACAATAATGATTGTTTGCTTGATTATGATTTTTTGTATTGAACTCTTTCAACTCAGCGCCCAAAACAAAGAGCCGGGACTCCCAAGCCTGCAACGCACAACTACGGAAAAATCTACTTGTCGGGTATCATGGGGAACTCAAGCTTAACCTGGTTATATAGCGATGAACCCTAAACCCTAAACCCTAAACCCCTAAACCCTAAACCCTAAACCCCTAAACCCTAAACCCTAAACCCTAAACCCTAAACCCTAAACCCTAAACCCTAAACCCTACCCAAAAATGGTTAACGGCTACCTGCTCTACTGCTGGCAAAAAGGCGCCTTGAAGGGCTCTCGGAGATCTGCCTGCCAGCGGTCTTCGGGCAAAGCCGAACAGAACCCAACACCCCTCAATTAAGAAATTTGCCCTTCAAATAATAGGGGCCTTAGTATTATGATTTACGGTATATTCCCCAATTAAGGGGTATTGGGATCCCCCCGAAACCCTCAACCCTATAGATCCCCCATAGATGCCTTTGAGGAGCCCTAGGTATATTCCCTAGTTAAGGGGTATTGGGATCTGGGAACCTCCTTCTCTGAGATCCACGACACGACGCAAGCTCTCATACTTGGAGGCTCATGGGTAGTTATAAGTAGAGTTATAAGTAGGGTAACTGTACTTATATCCCAGATTAGGGGACGTATAACCCTACTTATAACTACCCATGAACCTCCAAGTAAGCCCTCTAAGCCCCCAGTTGTGGGCTTGATTTCAAGTCTTTCGTCAGCCTGGAATTCAAGGCGCGGGCTTTGAGTTTGGCTGTGATAGCACGCCAACTTTCAACTGAACCCCAACTAGACGAAGATCATGCCATACCTGTAGTCTCCATTGTAGTTCCTTTTGGGGGTTACCTTTTAGAATCCTTAATACATAATTGGTTAAACCAAAAAAAGGAACTACAATGGAGACTATAGGTAGACTCTATACTATAGACCCCTTAGAGAGAGAGAGAGAGAGAGAGAGAGAGAGAGAGAGAGAGAGAGAGAGAGAGAGAGAGAGAGAGAGAGAGAGAGAGAGAGAGAGAGAGAGCGAGAGAGAGCCTTCTACTCGTAGAGCCCTTGAAGGAATGGTTACAGGCACCCTGAAAAGAACAATGTTCCTGCAAGCCTGAGCCCCAAACAAAAAAGAGAGAAGCCCTGGCCAATCCCGCAGCAGAGAGGTATGCCTTGGCCGTCTTAAAATCTGGCATCGACCTGCCATGGCTGCCGCGACCGGCATGACGGGTTTATGCTTGTCTTACCGTTTTCTCTCACCTGAACCCTAAAACCTAAACTCGTAGTTCAGGCTTTATCAGCTTGAGGCAGGATGTAGACGGTAGAATTTAGATCTTCATTTTGGGAGCCTAAGATGTGTCTGCAGGTTGCGGCTTGTGGATGCTATGATGACAGTCAGATGGGGGGAGGTTGGGGGTTGCTGGGGGGAGGGCGGGGGGGGGTCGGGGTTGCAGAACATTCTGCGCCCAAAATGCCTCTTCAAATGAGCGTTGCGAAGAGAACTTGCATGCACACTTCAGTACAAACACTGATAGAACTCATGACGAACAGTTCATACCGTGCACGCGTTCAATTTTCAAAGGACAAGACTTTACACCAAGCAGTCCTACTCGATATTGCAAAGAATTCTATAGGGTGAATGATTGCTGCCATGTTCTCCGATGTATATCCGTCTCAGATGTCGGACAACAGCATAGGCTTCTTGTCCGATTCCTGGATCACAGCCATACATAAGCCTGCAATGCCATCATAAACCCTGCAAAGCCTTTCTGAAACTCCAGCGGCTGTCGGTATGGCAAAGCAAACTCCTTAAGCGAATCAAACCTCAAACTGTCAATCCCGAAATTTTCTGCAAATCGACACTCTAAACCCTGAACCTATCCTATCCCAGCGCCGCGCGCACACCTTGTTGGGGTTGCCAAACGGTTTGGGGCATGCATCTATAGCGATTTCGAGGGGGGTTTCTAGGGTTTGTGAAAACCCTAAACCCCTAAACCCTATACCCTAAACCCCTGAACCCTTTCTACGGGTTTCGGTCTTCGGCCCTCAAGTTTACGCGATCTGAGGGGTAAGTCTAAAGGCTCTCAGCTGAGGCTGAAGATTGAAGTCAACACAAACGAACAGAGTCTGGCGACTGCCTGGTTAAATTCTCTACTTCGTTTTTGCTAGCTTGTCAACTACGATCTCTTCTTATTCTTGTCAGTTCAAGGATCAGAACCTTAATCTGTGGAAGGTGAAAAGACATGTTTACCTCTAACCTGAGACCGAAACCTTCGCTAGCCACTGTTCGGATGAGCCCCTATGCCACAAACCCGAAAGCCCCCTAAACCCTATAAGCCCTAAGCCGCGAACCTTGTAGCCTTAACCCCTAGAATCCCTGAATCACATAAGTCCTAAACCATGTAAGCCCTAAACCATATAAGTCCTAAACCCTATAAGCCCCTAAACCATATAAGCCCTAAACCGCGCACGCTGTAGCCTTAAGCCCGCAACCGAACATTCTAAACCCTAAACCCAATCCCTGAGGGTCCATGTACCCAAATAGTATATACTTTGGGCCCAATGTACCTATATAGGGAGTACTTTAAGGCCAAAGTACCTACTATTTGGGTACATGGACCCTTAGGGAATAAGCTTCAAATCCCACGCTGCCTCGACATCGCCAGTTTGGGGAACGTCGATGCAAATGGAGCCCTGAAGGGCCAAGACTGCTTGACGAATCTACTTTTGGGGGGCGTTATAATAGTTAGACTAGGGTTCCTATTTTATGGGCTTCCTTTAAGGGATATTATAGGGTTAAGGGTTTAGAGTTTAGGGTACCCTTTATGGGCTTCCTTTAAGGGATATTATAGGGTTAAGGGTTTAGAGTTTAGGGTACTTTGGGGGCCTTACAATGGTTAGACTAGGGTTCCTTTAACGGGCTCTTTTTAAAGGATACTGTAAGGATACCCTAATTTTTGAATGCAGGGGCCTCATACTACTTAAACCAGGGGTTATAGTTTTCATGAAAAACACCGAATGGCAATTATTTCGGTCCCTATCTCGTAAGAGATGCCAATACCCCTTCATTAAGGAATATACCCTAAATTATCCCTAAATTATACTCGGATCCCTGATATGATTCCTTAATTAAGGGGTATTGGGATCTCTGGGAGTGTACAATCTTGCGTCTTTTGCGGCGCAGCGCCGGTTGCTTTCGGGGTTTCGGTGGATTCCGGGCCGCAAAACACAAGGCCCAGGACCTTATGACCCTAGAATCCCTCATCTTAGGGGCTGAATACCCTGCACCACCAAAGAAAGCTGACCTCTGAAGGATTTTTGCACGAGGTTCTCATAACGCATGCTGGAATCACCGCAGCCGCGGCTGCCCTACTTCATCCCCAGAGTCTACGCCCGCAAAGTGGAAACTCAAGATCCTCAACACCAAACTCTCTTAACCCTCACGACCCTTCATGGACAGAATCCTTCATTGCTTTGTTTATGTGCTTTGAAATATCTTGCTTCACACGGATGGATGCAGGATTTGACCTGAAAAGTGCGGCCCTTTGGAGCCTGAGTAACAGACCTGTTCAAGGACTTATTGCAGGAAATCCAAATACGAAACCCAAAAAAGGTGGGTTCTTCTGGGTCCGCATAAAACCCTTAACCCTAAGCCCTTCAACCGGCGCGCCTCCCCTCAGACTTTGGGCTCTCCGCATACCTCGGCATGCACATCTTCTGGAGCCAGAGAACCCAACACCCCTTATAGAATTAAGGAATATACCAAAACATAGAAATTAGGGCGCTTAATATTATTATGATTTAAGACACATTTCTATAGCGCCGTGTGGAAGTAGCAGAAACAAAGATGTAACTGCGCTATAACTCATGTGGAAGTAACAGAAACAAAGATATAGCAGTGTGCTCGGGTGCCGCCAGGGTTCAGGTGCCAACGTCTGAGATGTCAGCATACATCGGGTCCGACTCAATGCATCAAACTGTGCTCCATAACAGTGTACCACGGCAATATCTACTATCATTGTGAGATACTACAATATACACAGGCAGTGTCACAGGCAGTATAATACAATATCTCACAATATGGCACACTACAATGTAGTATAATATATCACAGTGGAGTATAGTATATTATAATGTAACTGTAGTACACTAATTAGAATACACTGAATGCAATATCTATCCCAGGACGGCGGGCTGATTTTCTCGCAGCAGAAGCGTTGATGGATTGCCGCAAGGTTGCGGGCTCGTCTTGGGACACAAGAAAGAACAAACGGCCCTTACAGGGACCACGCGCCAGGAGTGTCCTGTTGTTGATTTTGGTAGTTTCAGAAAAGGAGACCCTCATCAGGCTCTACTTGGAGTGTCGGGGGACTTAGTAACTGGTTATTTTAGGGACTTATAAGTACCGAACCTCAATTAGGGTTCCGTTTAGGGTACTTATAAGTCGACTTACTAACTACTTACCAAGTCCCCCGACCCTCCAAGTAAGGACCCGAACACTCCGATCCCGAATTGTAAGAAACCTCCCTACAGCATTGTAGACCCCTCCCCTATTCGCACCTCCTGTATCTCAACCATAGGCGCCTCAAGGTGGTGGATTCCTAAACAAGCATACCAGAAATTTCTACAAAATCCTGGTGCTGCAGATTCGACTACTCGGCGTTTATTCCAGGATTTGTGTGAGGACGATCTCACTGCAGACGGCCGAGGGGTCAGGGATTTCATCTACCGTTGATATCAAGAGGGTTAGGAGATTTTGGTTCAAGTCTCGTATCAACCTTCAACGCCCCCACAAGCTCATGGATCCAAACTTCTGTACGCCCGGCATCCCCAAAACAAAAAGCTTAAGTCCTTTAAGCCCGATTCCCCAAGCCTACCTACACTCTCCAACGGCGTTCCGTCTTTTTGCTTAACTTCATCTAGCTGGGTCAGTTAGGTCCTTTGACAGGAAGAAACTGGGAAGCACAAAAGTGTCTATAGGTAGGGTTGAGGGCTTAGGGTTTAGGGTTAGACCTCAGCTAAGGCAGCGCATGGCGCGGGTCCGGTGAAACTTCCCCGTCAAGTCAGAGCTTCGAGCCTTGGAGAGCACGAAACACCCCGAAACCCTGATCTCGGGGCCCTAGTCGTTAGAACAGGATTTTTTGGACTTAGTATACAAAGCTAATCAGACAAAACGGGTGTACTATTCGCAATTCTTCCGAGTCATACCTTCAACGCTAAACGTTGCAGGATTGCGCAGGCTTGAACCGGGCGTTCTGGGCTTCGGAGGCCTCATGCTCTTGGTCGTGAGTGGGTTCATTGGGGCCCGCACTTTCGATGTACGTTACTGTTCTACTTAAATTCATGTACAATAATGTTCTGTAAAATGTGATGTTCCGAAGCTGTGGGGGCCTTGAGGGCATGCAGAAGGGGTCGGAGCAACCATGTGGTACTAAGATCCTTTGTAGCTCCTAATATGAAACAAGCAAAGTATACCCCCTACGTTGGTGTCCTGGTGGGCTTTTGGGGCTAGGGCTCGGAACTTCAGGAATTGCTGTACTTCATGTCACCATGTCTAGCAAACTTTCAGACTAACCCCATGAGGAGGGATCTCCGACCCAACCTGCCCCAGAAATCCTAAAGCCGTAAACCCCGACACCATAAAACCCTAAACCCCGAAATGTGGTTTAGTTTAGGAACCTGATTAAGAAACCTTGGGTCTTTATTAGGGCTCCTTATATGAATCCTAATAATTGGGTTATACGGCCAGGGTTTCTTAATCAGGTCCCTACATTACCGTCAGAGGCCCTGGGTCTTGTTGTCAATTGTCTGGAGTCCTGCGTTCAGGGGTTAGCATACCTGGTCCAAGGGGTCTTGCTGAGTGCTAATATAAGCCGCCTAAAATAATTAGAATAGCGCTTTGTGGCCCACTATACTATTAATATAATGAACCCCCAAAATCCCGTGTAGGTAATTGTTCAAGCCCCTAGACCCCTATAATACCCTTCATAGGAATCCTTATAAACCCCTGTAAAGGGAACCCTTAAAGGAACCCCATTATTCAGGCCCCTATATTACGTCGCTACATCCTGCGCCAAGCATCTTCTCGCTGGGAAGTCGGTGGAGGAGGACGAAGGGTGGCATGCGCAGATCGTCACGTGCATGCATCGCCTGCGCCGAGAGCTTGCTCTAAGGCCCCAACGTAGTTCCTTTTTGGGGTTCGTATGTAAAGAACGTATGAGGTAATCCCAAAAAGGAACTACTATGTGGCCTTGGGGTAGGGAAGATGGGAATGAACTCTAAACCCTGAACGCTGAATCGCCAGAGCTTGTCGTCTTTGGTGTGGTCTAGGTTCTAGGGTTTAGGCATGGGGCGTTGCTCGAAAGTGTTCCTTGTAGGAACTCCTGGGGCCAAGGAACTTGATCGATTGTGAAGCTATCCCAATAAGGAAAGCATATTATGCATTGGTGCTATGTACACTACTTGTCAGTGCGGGAACCTGAGCAAACTCTGAACACTAAACCCCTTAACGAGAACCCAGCGAAGGGAACCCGATGTCAATTCCAGCCTCAAACGAGGTCGGCCGCGCCTGGATGCAACTCTGTATCCGAAACCCACAACCAGCTTTGAGATTTAGGGTTTAGCATTTAGGGGAAAGCAGCCCTAAACTTTATAGCATAACCCCCAGGGAGGCATCCCCTTACCTAATCTTAGACCATAAAGGACTTCCATGGACTTCTCTCTAATTAGCGGGGTATTGGGCTGGCTGAGCCTGCACCTCCCGACCCAGAGACTCGAGCGAAACGCCAAAGCACAACACTGACCTAAACCCTAAACCCTAAATGGGGAACACGAACAAACAAACGGACCCGAAATGCGAAAGCGTTTCAACAACAAGGCATCTAGTATTACAGGTTCAAAACCCTACAAAAAGGCCGCAAACGACAAAACAAAACGAAAGATTTAACCCCAAACAGACGAAAACCATAAACTTGTGAACCCCAAAAAGCTGCAAAGCGCAAAACCAGACCCTAAAAAGTTACAGAAGGCGCCCGATTCCCGTGTGCCTCATCCGGTGAAACGCCGTACCTGAGGTGCACATTTAAAACTTAAGCGGTTTACGCTCTAAGGCTTAGCTTCGGCTTGAAGGTGTAGGCTTACACTGCTCACATCGGTGGGGGACAATACACATCACTCGAATGTGGACGCTGTCTTTCAGAAAATTAAACATCAGCCCTACGACTCCAGCTACCTAAATAGTAGGTTACTGGAGTACCCTAGGGGTCCATGTACCCAAATAGTATGTATATATACATATATATATATATATATATATACTTTGGGCCCAATGTACCCACGTAGAGAGTACTTGAAGGCCAATGTATATACTATATAGGTACATGGACCCTTAGGGGTATATAATGTAAGGCTAATAACCTACTATTTAGGTCACTGGAGCCCTTGGGCAGTGGCTTGAACACTTTGGCCTCCAAGTCGCTCAAGGTCAATTTTCAGGAGTCTTTTCAAGTGACCCTAATATAGTACCTTGAATAGTAGGATCCTTATTATAAGGACCCCAAAATAACGTACCCCTAATTTTGTATGTTCTAGAGTACATATTGGCACCGAATCTCCAAGTAAACGCTGCTGTTTTTCTCGACGCGTGGATTGCAGCCCTGTGCATCGAACAGCAATCGAGGTCCACATTCCGAGTTTTGTTCTTGGGGCCACAGCCGAGATCCACGTATCGAGCGGCGGTCTTTGGAGCTCTTTGGAACTACACCCACCATTCCCACACCGTCTTGTGTGCTGCACCCGAGAGACGTACCGAGCGTTGATCGTGCGGTTACACCGCACGTGCGATTTAGGTAACGATGCTTGACCGTGAAAACGGTGCGAGCGTTGGTCTCGAGCACCAGAAAGGCACGTGCTCGAGACACACAGCGGTGGCATCACAACACCATCAAGACCAGCCATCCCCCATGCAAATGCTCGACCCCTAAACCAGAAAACCCTAAACTCTAAACCCTAAACCCTAAATGAAACCTGGTCACTACAACACGGTTTAGGGTTTAAGGTTGACAGCACGAACGCACATGAATCTCCATGTAGACCGGTGTGCCAAGATCGGAGTCCTAGCACGTTGGAACCCAATTAGAATAAGGTTTTGGGAGCCATTAATTATACTCTAATTATAATAAGGAGCCCCCTAAACAGTATATGTAGTTATTTAGGCCGCTATAGCACATGGAAGTGCGCAAGCATGGAACAAAGGATCGTTCGTACACAGATGCGACTGCTTCAAGTGCGACTCCCGAGTGTGGATGCTCATCGATGCGCATGTCAACCAGCCGATGCGAAATAAAGTGAACCCTTGATGGGCTTAGGCGAAGCTTTGGGCTTTGGGTCTACGAATTTAAGGGTTCATGCCTTTGGGTTTCGCGTCCGCGAGGAGGGCTTAGGGGTTTTAGGATATAAGGTTAATCTTCGGAGCCTGGAGGCTCAAGAGGGGTTTAGGGTTTAGGGTTTAGGGTTTAGGGTTTAGGATTTAGGGTTTAGGGTTTAGGGGGGGTTTGGGATGCTGCCCGAAAGTCAGAAGCGCCGTACACACTCCACCCGTCCAACTTACCGACAATGGCTGTTGCAAAAAGACGTTCAAAATGTCTCTGGGCAAGGCTTTCAAGTGCCAAACCCGACCATGCGCCGTCTATTAGTCTATTACCCTAAACCGCCAACATCTCCTTACACAAACACAAGAAAAACACCAAAACTTACTAAACCCCGAAATTGAAGGGGGTGGGCTATTCCCTAACTGTCAATGCACCCAAACAGTATATACTTAGCTAGCCAGGGACTGTTTTAAGGCCAAAGCTTTTTCTACATGGGCGTCTACCTTCGACCCTTTCGGCCCCTTACAGGAACCCTTATGTTATGGCGCGCTTGAAGGAACCCCCTAACTTAGCCCCTACTTGGCTACGTGGGCCCTCAAGGATTGAGAACCCTCGCCCTAAACCCTAAACCCTAAACCCCTAAACCCCTAAACCCCTAAACCCCTAAACCCCTGAACCCTCGCCCAGGAACTGTGACCCGATCTGCTTGCGGTTGGCCATGATGGAGGCCTGGGCCTTTGACTGGTCTGAGAAACGCTTTTGGGGCTTAGGGGTTAGGGTGAGGGTTCATGGTTTAGGGTTTGGGGTTTAAGGTTTAGGGTAAAAAAAAAAAAAGCAATGGCCAGGGTTTAAGGCTTGGGGTTTAAGTTTTGGGATTTAGGGTTTATGTAGGGCTTAGGGCTCAGGGTTTAGCGGCGTTGGGCGGCTTTGTAGTGTGCCGGGTTCTGGTTTTAGGTAAGATGCGCTCGCCAGTATTAAAGTCCTAAAAGAAACCCTACTTCATATACCTGACTCAACTAAACGGCATTCTTGAACTATACAGCTTGAGGCAGGATAACCTGAAACCCTCAAGCCCTCAAAGTCTGAAACTCTAGACCCCAAGCAGTGCAAGACCTCAAGCCTAAAAAAAACGTGAAAATAGAAGAAGACATCGCTGACGGACAAAAACCGGTAATTCTTCCCGTAGTTTGGGGTGCTTCAGGTGATGCAGGTCCAGTTAATCCCCAAAAGCACCAGAGCGGGAAACCCGCGCAGAACCCTGGTAGAACCGCTATTCCATCAACCACAGCTTTTGACCCCAGGGGCCAGTGGCGAAATCGGCACATTCGCGCCGCTACCACTCCTGCGGGACGTATGCTGGAGACTTAATCATGAGAAAAGGGTATCAATCTGTATTGTACGAATACATAACTGTAGTTTGGAACTCGAAGGAATAGCATTCCGAGTTTTTCCGGCCCCTGCCGAAGAGAAAGAAAAAACAAAACGAAGCCTAAGCTCCTCAAGCTCCGAACCCCTACCCTAACCAAACCTTATCAAACTCGTATAACCCGGAGTACACCATAAATTAGCCACCTATATGTTAAAACACCAAGTCTCAACCCTCGAATGCCCAAAACAACATCATTCATCGTTCTGTCATAGGAGCACGGTCCCAGCCCAATACCAATGAAGACATGGAATGGCCGTGCCATATTCCAAACTACATACTGAGGATCCTTGAGACACATTATGCTGTGTGCCCCAAAATCCCTGGACCCTAAACCCCTTACCTCTAAACCCTAAACGGCATTGCTGAGTTAAGAAGCATCGGGCTCTCGGGACTGTTCTTTTCTTTCACGCAGCTCCCCTAGCCGCGAAAGAGCCGCATTGGCGGTACCTGGGGCGTGCTTCGGGCGTGCTTCGTAGATGCTCATAAGTCGCTTAGCTTTCAAATCTCACAGGTACTGACAAGAATCAAGGAGTCTTTCTTAAAACACCGAACGGAGGGGCCACCCGTTCATGCGGCCACCAGTTTAGCAAGCTCGGCTTAACACTTAAAGAGAAGAGAGAAACGGTTTAGGGTCTAGGATCTGAGCTTTATGGTTTAGGCCTTGGGGTTTAGAAAATTGGTTGTAGGGTTTAGAGTTTAGGGTTTAGAGTTTAGGGTTTAGGGCTTAAACAACAGCGAGAGCCCGGGGCGCTGCGGAGCATCCTCGGGGCTGCGGAAGAAAGGAGGCCAATGGCGGCGGCCTCGAGAGCCTCGCGTCGCAGAATCTACAAAGCAAAAGTTATAGGGTTTAGGGTTTTAGGGTGTAGGGTTTTAGGGCTTAGGGTTTTTGGGCTTAGGGTTTTAGGGTTTAGGGTTTAGGGTTTACGGCTTTAGGGTTTAGGGCTTTAGGGTTTATGGTTGAGTACAAGGCAAAAGTCGTAGTGATGGGGGCCTTGATAGGTGGAATAGGGTTCATCTTAAAGGGCTCCTTTTAAAAGGGGTCAATAAGGGTTACTATCAGGGTTCCCTGATGTAGGAGCCTTACGTAGTAATTAGAATAGATTTTGGAGGGGCTCCTTACTATACCTATAGTATACTACACCCCCACCGCTATTTTAATTGCTAACGCCCCTATAGTGTTACTTGTATTGCTAATGAAAGCGACAACAACAAGGAATCATAGTAAACAACAATACCCACAAAGATTAAAGTCGTCGTCATCATCAGCATAGTCACAATCGTAATTGTCCCAGTATTGCGGGGAGCAGTAGCTTACTGACAGCGCAACAGTAACATCAAAAGTAGCAAGGCTAACCGACAAACAGTCAAAGCCTAAACTTCGTATGCTTGCAACGGCATGGTGCTCTTCTTTTGGAAGGAAGCTCGAAGCGATTGGAGTCAGGGTTTTGGGTTAGGGATTAGGGGTTAGAGTTGTTCTTTAAGGGATTCGGGTTTAGGGTTTGTAGCCTTGGGCTGAAGGGTAGCTGCAAGCATACAGTGTAGGGTTAGGTATGCAGGTTTGGGGGGTGGATCTCGAGATATTTAGTTCATATAAGTGGTCGCTTTGGACCTCTCTGTAAAACCCTAAACCCTAAACCCCAAACCCTAAATCCTAAACCACAAACCCTACACACTAAACCCCTGAACCCCTAAACCCCCAAAAGCCCTATCCAAGTAGACCCTGAAGCCCGAAGGCAGCGACCCGGCCTTGCTGAAGGTCAACACATTCGGGCGCAAAGTCCTGGTCAACTTCTCGTCGGTTAAGGTTCAGGGTTTAGGGCTTAGGGTTTAGCTTTTGGGGTTTAGGGTGTCTTCTTGCGCAGTGGCTGATAATCCATGCTAGGATGGCGCCACCTCACACCAGGGTTTGTGGGTGGCGGCATATTACGCGTCAAGCGCCGTTCCTTGCATGTGTCCTAGAACTCGGTGAAGCCGGAAGTTCTCTAAAACCCGCCCGCTGTGATGATACCACAGGCAACCACCCAAACCATCTTCTGTTAGGGTTTAGGGTTCAAGGTTTAGGTTTTAGGGTTTAGGGTTTAAGGCTTGGGGTTTAGGGTATGGGGTTCAGACCGGTATGGTTCCGAGCCGGGAAATCATTCGGACCCGAAACCCTCGCCCCTCAAGATCGAAACACCTCGGCCAAGGTCACGACAGGGTCTGAGCAATGTAATGTATTAGGGCGTATGAGGCTTTAGGGTATATTCCACAAAAAAAGAACAACTATAACGTATAGCACTCAACCTTACCATAAACCCTTACCCCAGAACCCTAAGAATTGTCCCAGCCCTGCAGAGACGATGGAGCTTGGAGTGATGGCTTGGGGGGGGCGGGGAAGATAAGAAACTCGCATAGTCTTGGCTAAAGAGTGCACCAGACCCTAAACCCCTATAACCCTGGACCCTAAATCCCTAAACTGCAAATCCTACACCCGAACTCCTAAATCCTAAACCCCTAAACAGGAGCCCGCATGATCAGCAAGATACCAGGCTGCAGATCTGGAATCATCAGACGCACCGATCTTAAACTGCAACCAGCCGTTCTATTCGGGATTCGGCGACAGAATTGGCAAAACATCTCACCGAAGATGTTTAGAGGAGCTTGGGATTTAGAAGTTGTGGGGTTGAGGGTTTTGGAGGTTAAAGGGTTTTGCTACGTAAGTACTATGACCTATGGGCCCGATGTGCAAAAAATAATCTCTCTAATCACTGTCGTCCCATCTCTGGCATGCTCCAGATGCTGGCAGAGGCACGCCGGGACCAGATACCCTAAACCCCGAAACCCAAATTCTGCTTCCTAAGACCGTACCCTTAACCGTAAACTGCGAAAGCCATCCAAACTAAGCTTCATGGCCTGAAGCTCAGATAAAGTAACTGCAACAAAAGTCCCCTGACTCAAACCCCTACATACAACTACCCGACCCCCCTGATCCCTGGAAACTTTTACAACAATCTGTGACTCCCTAACTCTATTGTTTGAAAACCCTGTCAACCTCTACATAATCTTACCAGGGCCTGCAAGATTGAATGCCCTTCCAGAACTTTTCTAGGCCCACACGAACTCCCAACAAAACCTCTCTCAACAAGCTTCATAAACAGTCTGGGTGATAAAGCCACAAATACACCAAATCGAAGAGCTACAGCAGTTTTTGAAACTCGAGCTCGCACCCTAAGCCCCTCAACCCTAAACCCACAAAAAAGGAGAACCGCAAGGCAGTAGCTGCTCCTGTGTCCCAGCTCCGCTGTGAGGCGCAGAGCCGCAAACCAGGCGTTGCGAAGTTGGCAGGCGCCCAGAGCCGCCTTTTTGGAGGGACTTTTGCATTTAGGGTTTAGGATACTACAGGGGTTTCGGGCTTTAGGGCTTATAGGGTTTAGGGTACTGTAACGGTTTAGGGTTTAACGGCTTAGGGCTTCAGGAAATGTATAGGTTTAAGGGTTTAGGGTACTACGAGGGCTTGGGGTGCACGGCCTTGGGATTTAGGGTTCTAATTAAGCGTCAATATACGGGAAAATACAAAGCGAAGCCTGTGTACCTAGACCCCCCAAAGTAGGCAAAACAGTGGCCCAAAACCTATAAAAGGCGATTATTCTGCATACTTTTGGGGTCCAGTTATCATCCGAGAAAATATAAGATAGAAGGTTACTTGAAGGGTTTAGAAGGGACGCTAGCACCGTTTATGCAAGAATGTCGGGTTGAGAGTTGAGGTCTCTGGAGTGTCGGGCCTATAAAGGGGTCTGAAGACCCAGGTTACGTTTTAAAGATGCTTAACGATGTTTATGCCGTATTTTAGGCTCGTCAGCAAATTCTAGACCTTGTGCTTTTTGCTTAGTGTTCTGTGCACAGCGAGCAGCTTGAGGGCGTTTTAGAAGCTTAGGGATTGAAGGCTCTTTCAGTTTAGGTCCTTTGCGGTCTCTGAGGTTTAGGTTTGTGGCCTCCCAAAATGCGGGTTTAGGGTTCTATAGGTCTTCAGTTTAAAGGTTTGGGGCCAGCCTTTAAAATTTAGGGCAGTAGGTTGCGGGCTGATTGCCTAGGTTGTGAACATTCAAGCTGCCGCGGCTGCTGCTTCTACTTACTACGACTACGACCCACAACCAGGTCCGTGAGATCGAAAAGAAACAAAGAGCAGAAACCGGAGAAGGAAATCAGTGAACTTAGGGCCAACACGTTCTGGATGATGAGGTCCGTGGTCAGGTGCTGCTGGTCACCTGGGAGTTTCCAAAAATCGGGGACCCTGGTATAGTACTCTAACTACTAGGATCCTTATTAGAAGGACCCCAAAATAAGGTACCCCTAATTTCCGGAAACTCACAGCTCGGCTCATGATCTCGGGTTAACAGGAACCTAGACCCCCAAAAGTAGGTAAAATAATGGCCCAAAACCTATAAAAGGCAATTATTCTACATGCAGGGCACTTTCAATTAGCAGACCGATCCTCTTCGGCACGCTAACGGAAAGTGTAAACGATCCCAGTGGGTCCCAATGGCCTCCTAGGACGTGTTGGAGGGAAGGAAGAGAAGGTCAATCTTGGGGTATAGGCTTTCAGATATGCGAAACAGGACAGGGTTTAGGGTTTCTTGGTTCCAACCTGTCGATAATAAATACCGCGCACTTTGACAAAATGAGATAGCTACTTGTCCAAAAAACTGAACTTTTACCAGCCCGCTACCCTTCCCCGCATGGCAAAGTATAGGGATCCCATCACTACTCATCCCAATGCCATGTTCCAACTTCCTTGGCTTCACTACCATGCATTAGACCCGCTAGAGTCCAAACTGCCAAATGCCCGTTCATCCCAAACCCCCGAAACCATACTGAACTTAGAACCCTAGCAAAACATAATTTTAGCTGTTTCTTAGGGATTACAATAACCTAAAATTACAAACTATTTCTAAGTACCCCTAAGGAAAGCATCGTGCGAAGGCGCATCGGGTTAGCAGCGACAGTGCCGAGGACCAGTGCCTGTGCCAGGGAAGAGGCATCGAGTCTTTTGGCATTTGAGCTTCGGATTTAGAGTTTTGGGTTTGAACTAGGTTTTGGATTGTAGGATTTAGGGTCTAGGGTTGTCGGGGTTCAGCTTTGGTTGTTCAGGGCTTAGGCTTCGCAGTTTAGGGTCCGGGATTTGGGGTATAGCGTCCAGAATTTGAGGTTTCAAGTCAAGGTTTAGAGTTTAAGGTGCTTCAGCCCAATAAAACACTAAGCCGTGAACCCCTAAACCAAAAAGACCTACATCCTGTGTTCGGTTACATTAAACCCTCCCCCCTCCAGAAGCACAGACATCCGCAACTCGAATGCGATCCCTAAGCTGCAAAGCTTTTAGTTGCCGGCCCATGACGGAGAATCTTCTTGAAGGACTCGACCATCTATTAAGTCATCACAAACCAAACATAGAGGCCTTCATAATTCGAATACAGTTTGGGGGTTTCTTTATAGTTTATAGTTACTTCAAAAAGGAACCTGGAGGATTAAATATTGGCTGGCGACCCGAGCTATGGCAAGGTTATCCTGACTAGGTTCGGAGTACCCTAAACCTCACCATTCTGTCTCTGGCTAACCACGAGATGCGAAGTCCTTAGGTGGAAACCTTAGGCCAATGTCTGGACCCGAGCCGCCCTACTTTCTCCAGGGAGGTCATCACGGAGCTGTAGATTGGAACGGAACCTGCGTGCGAAAGTCTTGGGGCTATGCTGCTGACATGTCAGAGAACTCCAGGAATATTATTCAGGCCCTATATTGAGCAGGATGCCGCCGAAACTCCGTGTTCCAGAGCTGCTTAGTCTTTCGAGCTTCCTGGACTATTTTCATACGGTTTCTGAAAATTCGCAGATGATGCTCCTCGGGCGGGTTTTTGGACTTGGACCTCGGACCTCGACAGGGTAACTAGCGACTTGGATGCACAGGCTATCGAGGGCGTCAAAGTGCAAACCTTTCGAGGGTCTCGACACCGGAAGCTGCGAGCTTCAGGATGAAGCCTCACCGCTAAGAAGTTTCAGTGAACAAAGCGACTTAATTAGATTCTGAGCTTTCCGGGGTTTTGACACCGCCCGTTGCGAACCTCAGGATGAAGCCTCAAGGCCAGGAAGTCTGAGTGAACAGGGAACCCTAAACCCTAAACCCAAAACCCTAAACCCTAAACCCAAAACCCTAAACCCTAAACCCAAAACCCTAAACCCAAAACCCTAAACCCCTAAACAAGGAGATCAGAACGAAGTGCTAAGGCTGGCATTTTAAGGCTTGGGGCATCCTGAGCCCATTTTGGGTGGTTGTCAAAATTATGGTCCCTAGGGTTCCTTTAAAGGGTTCCTTAAGGGGATCCGGGATCTATAAAGGGTTTAGGGAGATATGGGTAGTTGTCAAAATGATGGTCCCTTTTGGGGTACCCTAATTATTAGGTGCCGTAATATGATAAGGACCCGAAAAGGGACCATAATTTTGACAACCAGCCTTTTGAAGCTTGTAACCTCGATCCCTAGCCTCAGCAACTGATTTCATAAGCAAAGCTGGAAATCCGAAGCGCCTGAACAACAGGAACTTCAACATTGTGGTTGAATCCGTCCTTGCCGTCGCACCCACTTGGAGGGTCGGGGGACTTAGCAACTGGTTATTTTCGGGACTTATAAGTACCATAACCCCAATTTGGGTCCCTTTTAGGGTACTTATAAGTCTACTTACCCCCCAAGCAAATCCCTAAACTGCAAACAAACCCCAAATCCGAAACCCCAAACCCCTCAAACGGAACGCAAAGCCCCAAACTGCACTGCCCGAACTAAACCCTAAACCTGAACCCTTAACCCTAAAGCCTCAAGCCTAAATCCCAAAGCCTAAAGCCTCAAGCCTATAAACCCTAAACCCTAGAGCCTAAAGCCTCAAGCCTAAACCCTAAAGCCTAAAGCCGCAAGCCTAAACCCTAAAGCCTAAAGCCTCCCCTGAACCCCAAAGCCTGGGCCTTCCAGTCCCCTTCCTTCCAGGTCGGCCAAGAGGTGCAGCGCCATGCGCCATTGGAATTCCTTGCCGGCTTAGCGCATCCGGCTCGACAGGGTTTAAGCGCGATTTTTGAGGAGTGCCCATGAGATTCTCTAGATTTGTATATATATACTTTATATGTGTGTATATATATATATATATCTAGAGAGACAGAGACAAAGAGAGAGAGAGAGAGAGAGAGAGAGCGAGAGAGAGGCTGAGAATTCGGTAGTTGCGGTGCAGGGCTTAGGGCTTAGGAGTTGCAAGGGGTCTCCACCCAAAGACTCATAAACGCCCAAATTTAACAAACAGTCTTCCTGCCACCTAGCTGGGTAGTTGTCAAAATGAGGGTCCCTTTTTGATTACCCGAAATATTAGGTGCCGTACTATATTAGGGTACACAAAAGGGGACCATGATTCTGACAGCCACCTAGCTCGCGTTCAACGGAAAGCAGTCTTTTCTGGGCCCCGTGTTGATTTGTTCATGTCTGTTTCGGGGGGTCGCGGACTGCGAGCCTCTGACCGCCAGAGTCCCACAAAAAGGAAGGGTTTAGAGTTTAGGGTGTAGGGTTTAGCAGAAGCAGTGGCAAGAGCAGTAGCAGTAGCAGCAGCAGCAGCAGCAGTAGCAGTCAGCATGTGAGCCAGGATACATTCTCACACGCGCCGAGAACCGCCAGGAAACATAGCGTGTCTGGTTCGAGACCTCGGGATTGTGTCTCCGACCTTCCTACAAGTAGTTTGTGATTTGCACTCCCTCGGCTTCCTCCGCTGCAGGTCTCATGTTTCTTGCGTTTTCCTGCAGCGGAACTGCGCTTTGGCATGCTGGCTCGAGTATTTTTGGGAATGCCGCTTTCACCCAAACTTAGACAGAACGCATATATAGAGGGACCCGGGAGAGGCAAGAAGGCGGACATTAGGGTTTAGGGTTTAGGGTTTAGGGTCTTAGATAATATTTACAGGTACGACTAGATAAGATTAAGTTGGATTGGCTAGGATTGGATAGGATTCGATTACATAGATATGGAGGTGGGTAGGGAGGTAGCTAGGTAGGTAGCTGGATATGTACATCGTTTGATAGAGTGGCAGACAGAAATGTTCAGAACCTCTACGACCGCGCTGACGCCCATTCAAGTTTCAGAAAACCAGATCCAATATAGACCCTAAGAAATACGAAATATTTCTACGATCATCAGTGTTCTTACTAGTAGCAGTAGTAGTAGTCGTCGTCGGCAGCGTCGTCGTCGGCGCTAGCGGGAAGATGATACCTGAAAGCAGAACCCCAAGGCCCGGAGCTCCGGGATTCTTGAGTCATCTCTGCTAACCCTGAACCCCTAAACCCTGAACCCTAAACCCTGCATCCCTAAGCCGTACACCCTATGCCGAAACCATAAGCCCTGAAGACCAAGCCCGAGACCCCCCAAAGCTCCCAAAACCCCCCCAAAACCCCAAAGGAAGGCTTGCTGCCAAGACGCTGCCTTCCTGCATCTTCGCGAAAAGGCACAATGACAGCTCCCACCTGCACCACGTAAGGGGCCTTCATAGTTGCAACTGGGCTTTGGGGGTATTGTATAAATGTTGTTCTATAAGAAATGATACTCTTTTGTGTGCTATTCTTTTCTATTCTATACTCTATCTTATGCTATACTATAACTATACTATAGTACCTTATATCACACTATGATGCAGCATTAATTAAGCTTCACTGGAACGAAAAAAAGCGAACCTGAACCCTTCTCGGCTCTTTCAAGGCCCCTGGGCAACACAATACCCAGAGATCCCAATGCCCCTTAATTAAGGAATATACCTTAAATCATAATATTAAGCCCCAAATTATTTATTTAAGGTATATTCCTGAACTAAGGGGTGTTGGCCTATAGATCCCTTAAAGGAGCCCTATAGATCCGATATATTCCGCAATTAAGGGGTATTGGGACCCCCTACTTGTCGGGTATCCAGGTTAACCCTTTTGGTTATGTAGGGATGATATAGGTAATCTAAGCCCAAGAGTAGCCTAGGAATAAAAAGGGTGCCCTTTTTGGTTTAAAGGGGCTTATAAGGGAACCTGAACCCTACAAAAAGGGAATAAGGGCCTACTCCAGGTCCTAGTAATATAGGGACTATATAGGGACTGTACAGGGATTATTTAGGGACTATATTATACTAGGGATTATATAGGGATTATACCGGGACTATACTACCCAAAACACGTTAAAGGTTACCAGCACCCCGAACCCTGAATCTGAAACAACACTCATCCCCCCTTCATCCGAAATTCCGAAGCCCAACTTGAACCTTAAAGCCCCTTAAACCCCACATTCCGAGGCCTAAAACCCTCAACCCCTAAACCCTAAACCCCTAAACCCTAAACCCCCGAACTCCTAAACCCTTACACCCTTACACTCCTAAATCCCTAAACCCCAAAAGCCCGAAGCTTGAAAGCCTTCTTCGGTGCATCCAAAGCGACTCACTTTCCGCGCAGGCGCCGATCGCCGAGCTCACGGCTGCGACATCCGGGGAGAGCCGGCATCCTGGCGATGCTTTTGGGACCCCTTTGAGATGCTTGTACCCAGAGAACCCAATACCCCTTAATTAAGGAATATACCTTAAGTAATAGGGGGCTTAAGATTTTGAGTTCAGGTATAATCCTTAATTAAGGGGTATGGGCTTTTCAACCCGAAACCCTACACCCACATGGGAGTTCCCGAAAACCAGTGGTACTGTATTTGGGGTCCTTAATAAGGATCCTACTATTTAGGGTACTGTATTAGGGTCCCCTATTTTCGGAACCCGCCCTGTCCATAATCCTTAATCCAATCCCTAAATCCTGAAAACCTGAACCCTAAACCCCCCCTGGAAGTTGTTATTTGAAGCGATGCGTGTTAAGGGTTTAAGGTTTCTGGAAGAGTGCTACAATCGCTTTCTAAACACCACGTAAGCCCTAAGGGTCCATGTATAGTCATACTTTGGGTTCTAAGTGCCTGCATAGGCCAGAGTATATACTATTCGGGGGGACCCGAATACAAAACCCTAAATAGTAGGATCCTTATCATAAGAACCTCCCAAACAAGGCACCCACACATTTTTTTGGAAACTCCCATTCACTACTTGGGCACAAAGATTCTTAGCGAAGGTGTCGAAGCGTTGGGCCTTGCTTGGCCTACTTGAGGGTCGGGGGACTTAGTAACTGGTTATTTTAGTGACTTATAAGTACCATAACCCCAATTAGGGTCCCTTTTAGGGTACTTATAAGTCTACTTACTAACTACTTACTAAGTCCCTTGAACCCTAAACCCTAAACCCTATACTACCTTATAGAGCCCTTTAAAGGAACCCTTAGAATCCCCTTTAAAGGAGCCCTTACTAAGTCCCCCGACCCCCCAAGTAGGCCGTCGGACTCGAGACTATGGAGACTTGTGGCTTCGGGCTTTGTACCCTTGGGTTTCAGGCGGTCTACTTGGAGGATCATGGGGCTTAGTAAGTAAGGGATCCTTAAAGGGATCTATGGGGCTCCTTAAAGGGATCTATAGGGTTTAGGGTTTAGGGTCTACTTGGAGGATCATGGGACTTAGTAAGTACAGTTATAAGTGCCTTAACGGGGGATATAACCAATTATAAGTATAGTTACCTTATTTTTAACCTAGTTACTAAGTCTTTAAGTAGGGTTTAGTGTTCAAGGGTTTAGTTTAGGGTTTCAGGGTTGAGGGCTTGGGTTTTGGACTTTTTGGGTGTCGATTTTGATGTTTTCTTCAACTTCGCAAATCGCATCTCGGGTTAACAAGTTTGGGTTGTGGGCTTGAATGACTCAGAAACAATTAAAATGCCAAAACCCGGGAACCGAAGGCCGAACTGTTTTAACCTCAGACCCTGTAAGGTTTAGGGCTAGAGTGTGTTTAGGTTTTAGGGTTTACGGCAATCTGTAAGATGGGTGCAGGGCTCACCATTTGACCATCGCGGTCGTTGCCGAGGAGCTCCGAACTCGATTGCACCATTGCCGGAGTGACGGGATGACGGCGCTCCGGCTGAGGGAAGCGCTTGCGCAGCCCTTCCACCATCAACCCGAGCCGGGCCAATGGAGCCATCGGGCACGGAAGATCAATCGTTATGTGCTCAACCCTTATGGCGGCAAGATGCGGCCTTGAGGGTATTGTACGACCCAAGTCCGTTCAGTGCGCTGTGCCACACGAAGTCGAGGCTGAGAGACTCCTCTTCTTCCAGATAGTGAATCACGTGGCGATATGGTGACAAGTTTCGGCGCTGGCAGAAGAATCGCCACCAATGCCAGTGGCTGTCGTACAGTCTTTGTGTCGACAGCGACAAACGCCCTTTGATAAGCTGTAGGGCTACTGGGCCCCAGGTCATCGCGGGAGCGCGTCAGGCGCTCGGGCACTTCCCGCAACGATCAGGGTGCGGACATGTGGAGGGCACAGACAGGGTTTAGGGTGCAAGGCTTTAGGGTTTAGGGTTTAAAGTTTTGAGAATTTAAGATTCAGGGTTTAGGGAAACAAAACCATTTCCAAACGTCTCCTATGCCTACATCCTCTGGGACCTCCCTGGGCCTAATTGTCTGCGCAGCACAAACCTTTCCATGATGGGCTTAAGGCTTTTGTTGAGCGCGTTTTTCGAGACTGCAGACCCAGGCTAAGGGCTTGGGATTTAAGGTCCAAAAACATACATTCAGGGCTGCCTCGGCCCGTACGCCGTGGACCGCATGGCAAACCCTACTTAAAGGGTCATGGGACTTAGTAACTAGGGTTATAATTAAGGTAACTGTACTTATAATTGCTTATAGCCCCCATTAACTTACTAAGTCCCATGAACCCCCAAGTACTCCCGGTGCTCAACCCGCGAGAAGCTGCCTTCCATCTCCTCCAGCAAGGCCAACGCCTGCTTGGGCTCTAGGCTCGGGTTTAGGGCTTACAATGTAGGCTTTAGCATTCAGGGTTTAAGGTGGGGGGCTCGAGATGTTTGCTTGCTTACGGCTTCTAGAGCTTAGTAATTACCTATACTATTTTGGGGATTCCTTATTCTA